TCTAAAAGTAAATACCAAGAGTTACTATTTAAATGGTAGTTACTGATTCTACATTCTGGAGGTACATAGTAATTGTATTCACAAAAATACATACCCGCAATGCTGATGGAACAGTGAGTTGATTGGAGTTGTTACAACCAGGAAAAAAACATTGATTTTGTGTGAGTGGTGCTCTTACAAAATTAGGCAGCAGTATATTGTATGATGTATGATCTAAGCTTTGTTGTTCTAGGTTCAATACATTACTCACTTTAGATTGCTACAAGGATGGACTAGATGATTCAGATGGTTCCCGTTCTAAAGTTTAACGTGTTGCTGCTTTATCAATCCTTCGCAATCATGACACTCACGCGATGACGATGGCAACTGAAATAATATTAAATAAAAAAAATAAGACAAAGTGAACAAAATAAAATAGATTTGTTTACTTTAAACTCAAATATAGGTAAATGTTACTTAAAACTTAATGCCCTATATTATTTAATAATTAAGGACTGACTGCCTACCAGTAGTCCAAAAACAATTAAAAATCGACTGTCTTATTTCTTGGTATTTGATAAAAATTGTCCATTTCGTAACTATCTGGTGTTAGCTAGCTAATCTTATCGCCGTGTTACAAATAAGCTATTTTGTTTGTCAGGTATAGCTTGTGCATATGTTAAAAAATAAAACAACTTCATCATTTCATACATTCATCACTATCAAATATCAGCACTAGAATTAATAAATTAAAAACTGTTGAACACTTACTTTTAACTGTTGTCACACTATAATGTGATCGACAATCTCACTCCATATGAGTTCTTGAGAATTTATTTGAAAAATAACAAACAAAATAACACAATGGCAACTATTTAGTTGTGAATTCACTAGTACCTTTTTACTTGTTGAATTGTGATTTCATTTCGCATGACATATTTCCTATATCTGTCAGATTTGATGTTGCCACATAACTAACATAAATACAACGAAACGATATCGATTTGTATTCGATTAGTAATTTAATGAAAAAATAATAATATTTGAGTTTCGCTTTCAGTTCTACACGCTTTTTAAAATATATTTTCTTTTATTTTTTTAAATTATGTTTTAAACGTATTTTTAAGAACAGTTAAAATGTGGAGTAGCGTATTGTTATGCTCTAAACAGTTCATGGTAAATCAGCTAAAAATTCACTTGTTTAATTATCATAGCATGATTCCATTTTAAATGTATTGTTAAAACAGATAACAATAACAGTTAAATTGTGCAGTAGCATTTTATTGTACTCTAAAGAATTCATAGTAAATCAGCTAGTAATTCGCTTGTTTAATTATCATAACATCATAATATCCATAGCGATTCGATTATTATTCGATTAATAATTTCATGAACAAAGTTCGACGATTTTTTTGCAATCGAAAGCAAGGCAGCAGTTAGTCTAGATAACCAAATATAATTATGTATATAGGTAACATGAATTAAAGAAAAATAGTGTTAAATAAAACAGGCATTTATACATTTTTTTGCAATAATCTTTTATGTGGATAAACCTTGAAATTAATTCTTACTGCCAACAATGCACCATGTGCTTATCAGAAATTTAACATTTCTGTAATCTTTTAACTACTATTTCTTATTACAGAACTAAAATTACCACTTACATGCCTTAAACAGCAATATACTATTTGAACAATGTACTTCTTTTTTCTTTGAAATTGAAAATATTAACCCCACAGTCGGATTTTCTTCTTTATAGTGGAGGCATTTTACATACATACATTGCAGGTGGACAACTATCCAGACCAATGATTTCAAAGGGAAGGATAGGCCCATCTAAATATTTTACTCATAACTTTTTCATACATGAAAAAGTAGCGCATCTGTCATAATACAAACGTCATATCGAAACACGACGTAACCAGGGTCGGATTTCGTAGTATAATTATCCTAATTGTACAATTATTTCATAGTTTGTAGTATATAGTATCCTAATAATACAAAGCGAAAATACCATAATTTTACCGTCCTTGTATTATTATTGGGTCCTTTTACATTTTAATATTAACCCTACGATATCGATATTTTTTGTATTGTACATGATACCGCGTTTTTTTTTAATAAAATTAGAATTAGCTCCTGTTCTGGTCAGTCGATGTTCGATCGATGCATTTATTTTGCATCCTGTATACAACTATAATGAGGTAGTTGTACCACGATAAAAACTCTATGCTCCAGAAGCAATCGGTGTGAAAACAGAAATTCAAAATATTTTATGAATCAGATTTTCAGATTCAATTAAGCAGATATGGTTTCTTTTGTACTCTTTTCGTTTTACTTTTATTGAATATAAAATATATTAGGTGCCAATATTCAAAATTTAACTTAAACTAAGTTCTTTAGACAAAGATTAAACAGAAATAAAAATAAAACCCTCAAAAAACGAAACATATAGATAAACTAGACGCGTGACGAAATTTAAACTTTGGATTCAATCAATTAATGATTGTACCGAAAAGCTTAAAAAACGAAGCGACGGGAATACTTTTGAATTTAGAAAAACTGGAAAGGTTGATAATGGTGGTTGTGTAGAAAGAATTTCGGAAAGAATAAACAAAGTAAATGTTAAAATTTATGCTTTTATCGTAGATTTGATCACCGTTGCCGATCTTTACGAATGTCTTTACAAGTTTTCGAAGCTATACTGTAAATTTTTAAGTATTACGAAGAAAAGGCGATGGAATGAAGCGTGTTTGAGCAGTGTACAAAAGATATGGGAAAAAGACAACAGAAAAGGAAAAAAATATATGATGAAACACCTGATGAAAAAATGAAAATGACTGCGAGTGATACTTACAAGGCTAAAATATTTCTCGTCGTCAATGATAGACTTGTAAACGATTTAGAAAAACGGCAGGAGGCATACAACAGGTTTAAAAAGTTTTCATTTCTGACCAATATAAGTGAATTGTCGTTACCAACCCTTATCTTAGCAACCCTTTTCTTAGCAAAATTGTATTCTAATGATTTAGAGATTGACTTATTTCAAGAATTCAAACAATTTCTATTTTCTTCTGAAAACATTTTGGTAAAATCAGTTTCTGGATCATTGAAAAGTTTATCTTCGTTTCCGCGGGACTAGAATTTGCAAAATATTTATCCGAACACCAGCGACAAAATTTTCGGGTGAGAGAAACTTTTCTTCCTAAAACGGGTGAAAAATTATCTAAGATCTACCTTAAGCCAAGAAAAGCTAAAGGCCTTAGCTCTTTTGTGCGACGATTGATGATGATTTTGCGAATAGAAAATTACTCTAAAAGGTATTGCAAAACTTTCATAACTTAATTGAATTTCATCGTCTTCATCATGCGGATTGTTACCAGGTGGAATATATTGTTTTCAAACTGTAAGTGCAAAAAATATTTAGGTGATTACGAGCACAATAATTCACCGAATGTACATTATTGTGTAAGTATTAACTAATAAGACATACTTTACCTTGCCTTATTAGAAGTACACGATTCAGCTTTTATTAGTTCAGAAATATACCCGAAAACTATTTCTTGATCAATCTTTACTAAATCGTTGGGTTGTTAAAATAATCTCGGAACTAGCACATCGATCCGCTAGTTTATAATTATACTAATTACAGGAAAAAGGTGGAGTAATTAGGATGATTGTGCACAAATCACAAAGTACACTTTCATTAACAATAAAAATTGTAATTAATATGATTGTGAATTATATGGTATCGAATTGAGGTTGGAAGGGGCGGCAAAATTTGAATAACATACTGAAGATGCCGGCAAATTATTCCAAACAATCGAGTGGTATGTTAACATCCACCCATTGATACCTACCAAACACCTGATTGCGTAATAGTGTAAGGTGATCAAAATAATTAAGTCAAATTCCTGCACACACTTTAATATGTAGGCTTAAATATACTATCATGCTGACTTTACACCTGTGCTGAGAGCTGAGATTAACAATATTGATTTTGACCCCATTTTGGTGATATTTGTCGGAAATTGTATGCTATCTCTCTTGGCAAGTCTGCCAACTCTCAATGCCTGACATCTGAATTTTTTTATAAATTTAAAATAAAAGATTCTTTTTAAAGAGAAATGCAATAAAAATAACCTGTCTATTCTGTAGACTATTCAAACAATTGTTCCGCGCGGGATACGAAGCCGTGGGCACCTCATCGCCGAAACTAAACTGCTTAGCCTGCTTAGCCTGTTAATTGCACTACCGAGCCGTCAATAATTAACAGCCTCGGTCACGGACTACTACAATATTTCTGAACCATTGGCTTCATCCACCTATTTATTCCTCTATATTTGATTTTACAGCAATAGGCAATCTTACGAGTCTTATTAGTCCTCTTCATTTTCCATCTTTTTCCAAAAATTCCAAGAGCGAAGATAATGCCGTGTAATAATAGTAGTAGTAAACTTATGACAACAGTGGGAAATGAAATAGAAACAGCATTTTTCTGATAACTTAAAATGATAAAAAACTACAGTTTTCAACCCGCCGGCCAAGCATGGCAACTAACAGCAAATATGATGTTGAGCCAATCTATAAAGGGAGGCCTAAGGTTCAGCTGTGGACTTTTGAGAGTGTAATGAATAAATAAGGTAAAGTAAAGTTACAGCCTGTATACGGCCCACTTCTGGGCACAGGCCTCCTCTCATTTTCTGAGAGTGTTTTAGGGCTAGGAAGTGTCCTCGGCGCTGTCCCAAATCCCAATGCGTGATGAGGAACTTCACATGCCGTCGAAATATTTTATTTATAATTTATCGAACATGTAGGTTTCCTTACGTTGATTTCTTTCACGTCGAGCACGTGTTAAATCAGCACTTAAAATTGCAATTAACAATTTCATTGGTGCCGGCGAGTATCGAACCCGGGTTGCTCGTATACTGTGCTACAGCGTGCGCTAAGCCCCTTAGCTACCACGACTCAATGAATGAATGAAAAAGGTAATTATTAATTAAGTGAATTATTGTCCACAGATTACCGTAATCCAGCATGCACTCGTGTTCTCTACGACGCGGAGCTTCCGTCAGCGTCGGTGATCATAATTTTTCACAACGAGCCGTATTCTGTCGTTGTCCGGACGATATGGAGCGTTGTGAACAGTGCGCGACGAGACCAACCCTGGTATCGACACGCCAATTTTGTGGATAGGGCCAGTGGAAAAACCATGAATTTAGGTAAATTTTGAGAGCTTTAGTAGAATAGAATAGAATAATTTTTTTATTCAATATGGATTACAAGTAATTCTTATTGAAAGTAAATGTTTTACTTTACAACTGGTTCGAAAAAAAACCTCCTATCCTGGGACGAAACAGCAAGAAACTCAGCGGAACACTCACGGAAATTCACAAAATATTTACAAAATTTATTTTAGAAACAGCTTGGAAGCGACCACCTCATTACCAGGCGTTATTATCAACCATGTATTCATTTATATCATAATAATCCTTTTTATACAGCTTTTGTTAAATTAAATATTTAAATTTGGTAATAGAGAGAAGTTGTATATTTTATGGGACTTTGTTGTAATAGCGTATACGTTGCCGCAAGAATGAATTACTGACTCTGTGGAATCAAGAAATTGGTATCACTAGCTTGTGTTTGTTCCTATTGTTTTCAGAGTGTATATCACTTTTTTTTACTAAAACTACCTTTGTTTTTGTGAACATACATCAAATTTCCCTGGATATACTGAGAAGTCAAAGTTATTATATTTATTTCTTTAAATTTTTCTCCAAGAGACTCTCTCGGTTTAAGGTTGTAAATAGCTCTTATGACCCTTTTCTGCAAAACAAAAATAATTTCTAAATCAGCCTGAGCCAGTAGACCTTTTTCTTTCTTTATTTAATTATCTATACAAAAAATCTGTAATCTTTTTTATCACAGGGTACCCTGGGCAAGACCCCACATCACCATTTGTATATCTAAAGGAAATCATACTGGTGGATGATAATTCGACGCTGCCGGAACTGAAGGGGAAACTAAGCCACTATATTCGAACCAGACTGCCGCCTGATCTCATTCGAGTACTAAGACTGCCAGATCGGTATGTATTGTATATAACTCTCACTTGCACCTATCACCAAATACTCTTGAAATAATACTAGTTTTTACGGAATTTATCGCGTATATTTACTCGGATAATCTTTATTTAAGACCGGACTTTACTAAAACCTTACGCATTTGATTTTATTTTAATTTACCCTATCCTATAAGAAAAAAAAAGAAAGGAAAAAGACCCGACGTTTCGAACGCTTTACAGCACTCATGGTCACGGGCGGGACTGAGATGTTCAACGTCCATATGTCATAGTTAACCGCGGTTACCATAGATTAAAATTTAACTTTTGTTCCGATCTATGCAGTATGAACTTATGGTATCTTGAAGTCTTGCAGTTGTATGCTTGGGTTGGGATTTAATTTTATTTATTATAGGATCCCAAGCAGATGGTAGCACCCAGCCATCTTCTCTATTGAAATTAGGATGTTTTTTGATTTCAATAGCCTCGCGAATCATCCTTGGAAGGAATCGGTGTTCTTTCACTATCTGCGGTCTATCAAATCTGATGTAGTGACGGGGGCGATCCTGTACGTGTTCACAGACTGCAGACTTCCCGGAGCGTCGATTCTTCACATCATATATATTGTTTTTTTCCGTAAAGCCTATCAAAAGTGCACTGCTGAGCATAGGCCTTACCCATATTTACGTTGAAGAGCTATAAAGTAAAGTAAAGTTACAGCCTATATACGTCCCACTGCTGGGCACAGGCCTCCCCTCATTTCTGAAAGGGTTTTTAGGGCAAGGAAGTGTCCGCCGCGCTGCCCCAATGCGTGTTGACGAACTTCACATGTCTTCGAAAATATTTTTTTTCTTATTCCTCAGACATGCAGGTTTCCTCACGATGTTTTCCTTCACCGCTGAGCACGTGGTAAATCAGCACTTAAAATTGCAATTAACAATTTTATTGGTGCCGGCGGGGATCGAACCCGGGTTACTCGCGTTCTGTTATATTTACAGCGAGCGTTAACCATCTGAGCTACCACGGCTCTGAAGAGCTATGCTGCAGTTATATTACGGTTGTAGCATGAATGGGTCGTATAGACAGCAACTTATTGCTTTTTACTGGAATCGAGGCATTCCGTCTTAGTCCTCGGGGATTACAATGCATCTGCATTTTTTGATTCTTAATCGAGGATAGATGTCTATGTGCCCAGCATCCAAATACCATAAGGTGGATTGTGTGCTTTTTGTCACCCTTACTCTATATAAAAATTGACCTCATAGAGGATATATCTTTCATAGTTGACACGTTTGGCAGGCCGTTTGTCAAATGCAGTTATCATTATTTTGATCTTTTATCTAAAAGATGCTGCTGCCCATCTCCTGTATCAGATTCTTGGCAGCCATTGTGCCTTAAATTAATGTGGCTATGTTAAAATATATGAAATATTTAAGGCTGTAACTTTAATGAACTTTTACTTAACACAATAACATATTATATGTGATTCTCTTGTTGACTTGATTTAAAAATATCATGAAACCCAGGGTGGGTTTGACACAAGCGAGGCTAGCAGGAAGTCGCGAGGCAAAAGCTGATGTTATGGTCTTCCTAGACTCACATTGTGAAGTTATGGAAGACTGGCTTAGGCCGCTTCTTCAGCGTATCAAGGAAAATAGAACAGCGGTAGTTACGCCAATCATAGATATGTTGGAATCGGATACCCTGGAATATCAACCTGGCAATGAAGATTTTGAGGTGCTCAGTCTCAGTCTTTGATGTAGATAGATGTGTCAATTTAGATTCTTAGATTTAATTTGACTGCAACAAAATAATTGGGGTAGTTCAATGAAGTCCAAAAAAAATTTAAGACTTGAAGGTGATTTCGTTGATTTGGTAAAGATAACAGATGTAATTTAGTTTTTTTTTCTGTAGATATTTAATTAGAAACATTCTACTGCAATATTCAACTTTACATTGAACATCAAAATTATTAGACATCTGTATTTCTATAGTCTTTAAGTATCCATTAAATTTATCTTAATAAGTATTTGATTTCATTACTTATTTATTAATTACTTTAGACAACATCAGCATATTTTTACACAAATATTTTCTTAATAATCATCTTTAATCATGTTTATGTTAAATAATTATGTTTGTTACACAAACAATAATAATGAACAAACAATTTATAATCCTTTGTTATACTTAATATCAATTTATTGATAAAAATGAGATTTTTGTAGACTTAATCGTGTTTAAGGATATATAATTTTATGTTATAAGGATTGTAGTTATGATTATTCACATAATATAGCATATTATGTTCTTTACACATACTGAAATTTACGTTAATACATTAAGTGTACGTTATAAAACTAGACATCGAGATTCCAAAAAGAGTACAGAGGCATATAAGTTATAGTTTTCAGCAAATTCTCCATCGAATTTTTTCTATTTAGCGTGGGTCTTACGAAAGCACGACTGGCTGGCGCTCGGTACGCCGTGGGCGATGTACTTGTCTTTCTGGACGCTCACTGCGAAGGTCAACCGGACTGGCTCCGTCCAATGTTGCAGCGTATCAAAGATTCCCCGAAGAGCGTTGTTGTACCCATCATTGATGTCATCGAGTCCGGCAATTTCTACTATAGTGTGCAGGACCCGGAGGTGTTTCAGGTGCGGTCGCTGCGTGTGGGTGATTGTACCAACTATTTCTTGAAATAAATGGGGCCAAAATAATATATACTATATTAGCGGAGAAATTTGACTGTATTGTTTTGTTGCATAGTTTTTAAAAGGTTATATATTAATTTATCACGTGCCATGGCAAGAGCATACTATGAAACTCATAGATAGAATATTTTATAGGCATATACATTCCGTAAATTATTATCAATGTTATCTCCTCTTTCTAAAGAGTAGATCTATCCCGTATAGTGGGATATAAAAGGCCAAATTCTACATTAAAGTAATTATTGTAAAGGTTATGTCAATAATAGGTTTAAGAAATAGTTGCTATAATTCTCCCTGTTTTTGTTTGTTTGTTCTTAATCACGTTTCCCCTTCGCTCCATTGCTTGCTTATCACGTGTTGTGTCACGTATCGCACTGCTTGAGACTTTTTCTTTGTTTTCGGTTAGGCTACCGTTGATTTTATGTTTTTGTTTTCTACATGGCTGGATGTGTGTGCTTGTAAATGTTTTATGCACATTTGTTTTAGTAAATGTATCTTACACGATTGTCTTTTGTTCTTTGTTTATTATATTTGGGTTTTTCATAATTCAAAATTAGGGACGAAGTGAGAGAAAAATTTCGATACCTATTAATTATCTGCCAGAATATGGTTGCCTACTTGCATTGTTTATTATAACAGTACATATCTCAATATTAATTTGGTCTCTAAATATAATACAGTTACGCAACTGTACAAGTAAATGTATTTAACATATTAAAATACTTTAAGCTACACATATGTGCTTTTGAAAGATATATGTATATTTTGTGGAAACGTAAGTAGCATAATACATAATCGCTGATCACGCTTTGTGTTAATATGGTGTCATGTCTCAGTCACTATAAATACCGTGATCTGAAGGTAGCAAGATGCTTCCACAGGCAAGGTCTCATGCGTGCTCGGATGACAGGCGCCAGGGCAGCAAGAGGAGATGTTCTCATATTTCTGGATGCCCATTGCGAAGCTGGAGCTGATTGGTTACGACCACTTCTGCAACGAATCCGGCACAAAAGAGATGCGGTGCTAACGCCGTTGATCGACGTAGTCGATCAGACGACTTTCCAGCTGGACGCTGCTGAGCATTTTCAGGTTTAAAGGAGCTTAATTCTGCTGGAAATGTCTGCTTTTGTCATGTTTGTGTACAGCGTTTCTCAAACATTTGAGGACAATCTTATTTTCTTTCCTATGTACACAAAAATTAATATATAATAATAAATAAATAACCGAAGTGGCAGTGTGAGAATATCTACTTCCCCATATCATCTCGTGGAATTATAAAACAGATGAAGGGCAGCAGCCTTTTCTTCATAATAGCAAGAAAATAACAAAACACTGCGGTTGCCGACGCTCCCGCCAAACGTGGCAACTGTAGCAAGTATTACCTTATGATGCTATCTATGGGAAGGCTTATATTGCAGTGGACTTTGAAAAGCTGTTAAGATAATGATAATGAAATAATTATATAATAATAAATAAATAATTCTTAAATTGTAATAAGCTTGTCCGTAAATTTTTCCAATAATAAAGATTGTTCAAAAATATATTTACGATATTTTCGGACTGACCTCTAAGAAACCCTTAAATCTTTAATACATGAAATAAGCATTTTAAAGAACGTTCTATGAATTGAGTTTGAGAAACGCTGTCCTAAATGCATTACATACAAATTACATAATATTATTAATCACCATTAAGAAAATGATTCGTAATTTTTTTTTAACATCAAGCTTGAAATAATGAATTAACAATAGAATTGGAGTTTTTACATTTAACGGTGATGGAGTTGTTAACGCTCGCTGTCGAAGACATATCCGTTGTTGCACGCAACGTTGACGACGAACGGACAAATCGTGGCATTAGTTGCCAGCTAATGGTTAAGTTTAAGCAAAGGAAATAATTTATATTCTCTTGTAAACCTTAGTAATGAAGTTTTGTTACATTATATCTCAATTTACTTCAGGTATTTATAATTTTAATAGTAAAATAAAAAAATAATTTTGGAAACGAAATACATAATACATGTATGTATTTGTAGGTTTAAATTTTATTAGTACAATTAGACCGGGAGCTGGTGACAGGTGCATGCCCTTGTAATATACGGAAGTTCAAGCAAATTGAAGCTCTAATAATTGATAGCATGCACCCCGCAGCGGCCCAAGATGATCAAAGGGTTCTGAAAACTTGTAAAAATTAAAGGGCAATTCCGTGTTTTCAAATTGCATGTCGATGTAAAGAATGGAAGTTTTTGTAATAAAAACACTGGAAAAATTGGCATGCACCCCTCGTATGACCAACGGTGTAAAATTTCCGGAAAACTCTGTAAAAATTGAACTCCGATTTTCCGTGATTCCAAACTGCATGCCATGGTCATACGAGGGGTGCATGCCAATTTTTCCAGAGTGTTTTTATTACAAAAACTTCCATTCTTTACATCGGCATGCAATTTGAAAACACGGAATTGCCCTTTAATTTTTTTCAGGTTTTCAGAACCCTTTGATCATCTTGGGCCGCTGCGGGGTGCATAATATCAATTATTAGAGCTTAAATTTGCTTGAACTTCCGTATATTACAAGGGCATGCAGTATACTATCACAGAAAAACACGAAAATTCGCTACACAAAGAAAAGCGCTTTTCCTTATGAAGAGGACGCGCGGGGGCTAAAGCCCCGACAATCTTTGATATTTAAGGGTTAGTTATCAAGCCTTAAAAGGCATGCACGACAAAATCGTGGAACGTCACCTGTCACCAGCTCCCGGTCTAAATGTCAAGATTAATATTTGCCATATATTTTCTGTGCCTCTGCATTATTTTTAAAAGCGATGTCAACGAAACATTTGCAACCCTCTTAAATTAATTAAGATCCGCAAAAAATATTTGTGGTCAATCGTAGTTTCTCTGAACCAAATGAGTTTTTAATGGCATTCGAAGTATAACCCCTAAGTTAGGTGGAAATGTTTACTGTTTTTAAAGGACAAAGGAGCACAGCTTTCTTGATAGTAAGCAGTCACCGTGATCTACTGTGATCTAAAGCTTACTACATATTTAATTGTAGTTATTTGTTTATAAATCAATTTTTTTATTAACATGTTTGAATGTTGAAAATGTCAGTCGTATTGAATAATAATGTTATTGGAATGTAACAAACAAAATAGAATTGGTATTAATTCAGAGAAAATATTTTTATTAACATGCTGAACATGTTTTTTTCTTCTCAGAAATATAACTAGGTAACTAATTTTAAAGCATGCAATGGATATCGAGTCCTCATAAAAAAGTAAAGTTTGTTATATAATTTCACCGATTTGTCGGAAACAGCTGAACCGATTTAAATTATCAGCTTTTGACAGGTTATATTTAAGGGGTAGTCCCTTAAAATCAACTGATTTTGATTTTAAGGCGCTACCCGTGAAACCTGTCAAGGTTCAGTAGTACAAAAGCAATCGTATTTTTATAAGAAATTGTGATAGTTTTTTTCACATATTTTTGTACGAGTACTAGTTGTTCTGATGAATGGACTATTGTATTTAGCTGTCTCAATACGTTATTGTATTTTACGTTTATACTCGTTATATCATTATGCATTACATAATAATTGTTGGGCTATACTAAACAAATAAACAAAAATTAAATATCTGATGATTATAGATTAATAAACCTCCAAACTTTGAAAGATCTGTCGCAATTGTCAAACGAAGGAGTTAATTGGCTATCGCTATGCCATCTTCGACGTAAGTGGACGATTTCAATAACGATATTGTTGTTTTTAGAAATACTTGAATCGTTTTAGTAAGTTCTCCAAACTCCATGCACATACTTATGTGACATAAGTACATACTACAGAAATATATTTACCACCTTGAAGGCTATTTTAACGTTGGGTCTGAAGTAACTAATATACAAAAATAAGTACAACATAATTTACACAAAAGAGCTAATAGAGAATAACAATTGACATGCCTAAGTTAGTTTGAAAGATTAAAAATGTTGATCAACACACCGATTACTAATAGCTCAATTTATGAAAAAACCGTTAATATGTAGGTATGTTAAAATTTATTGTGATCATCGTCTCATTTTATTTAAATTAGTGCTTTTGACTCGCATGTAAGTTATCTAATCCGTATCTATTTTTATTCACTCAATAGTTTAACTTTCACCTGCTGTAGTAATATGGTTAACTTTAACTATTCGTAGTTGATATTAGCTAATAACACAATTTTATTTATATCTTTTACTTTGCACCTTTGCCTTTGGTTTGCTGCTTCTTCAGTGCACTTATTTCTTAAATTATTAATTTATAAATAATATTTGTGTATTTCAAATGTGGGATATTTGAACATTAGTGAAACAAATGGTGTTGCTTTTTAATCTGCATATTTTTATTTGAGTTGATTCAACCCTCCAACCATTGTCGGAGTTTCTTTGCGTGATAAACTTAGAAATCTGGATATCTGCAATAGAACCAGAGTAACCGACGTGACCCAACAGATTAATAAGCTAAGTGGCGATGGGCCGGCCATATAGCTCGAAGAACCGACAACCGATTGGGAAGAAAGGTTCTCGAGTTCGCCCACTAGACGGAATGACGACCGAAGTCATGCTGGAAATCGATGGATGCAGGTGGCTTAGGACCGTGCTTTGTGGCGTCCCTTGAGGGAGGCCTATTTTCAGCATTGTACTTGTTGTAAAGAGCTGTAATGAGATGGTCAGGGTTGGTCATCTTGTGAACTTCGGCCACTCAGCAGTGCATTTTATGTTGTGTTCTGCTTTGAGAAGTAACAGAGCCAGTATAGTTCGGGCTATGAGGCATTTTATCTTAGTTCTCAGCACAACCGAGCTGCTTTTTTGCAATTAAATAAGGCACATAATAATTAACATTACCATTATACAGGTGGGAGGGTTTACTTTTATGGGGCACTTCACCTGGATAGAGGTGCCGGAAAGAGAGAAAAAACGACGAGGGTCTGACATTGCACCCACGTGGTACGTATTGTCTGAAATAAATATAATTGTTAATTGCCTTTTTGTAGATGGAGCGATTTGGTAAGACATGCGGGAAGATTCAGATGTCTCAGGACCGTGCTTTGTGGCGTTACTTGGGGGAGGCCTATGTTCAGCAGTGGACTTGTGAGGAGTTGTAAAAAGATACTTTTATATTCTGTTTTTGATATTCACCCACAAGTGGAAGACCATGAATTCTTTGTAAACACATTAGAATTTTATCGATTTTAACCCTAATTTTTTATTAATTACAAAACTACCTGCTTAAATATGTTAATATTTTTGTTGTTAAAAGCTAACCCTAACCCTATACGGTTATTCCCTTATAAAAAATAGTAATTCCGTGCGGAAATCGAACTCGTGTCGCCGTAATCAAATAGCTTCTGCACAACCGAAAGTCTCGTATCGTAAAACGGCAATTTTTTTCTAGTATTTCTGTAACCGTTAATACCGAAGCAGAACGCTTCGTCTGAATGCTAGATATATCTACAACGAAAGGAAAGCTCGTTATCCTACCATGGCAAGTGAATGTGCGAATTACGTCTTGTAATTCCTGCTTACACCCTCGAAAATGTATCCTGTAAAACACCGAAGTTGAAAGCTTGTGCTTGAGGCGAAGAAAAAAAGGAGCAAAAGCAATAGTCAATTGATTATTATTCATATAGAATTAATTATACGTGGTAGAGCTATGCTGCAGCTGTGTATTACGGTTGTAGCACGAATGGGTCGGCTCGACCGGGGAGGGACCACATTCTCACAGAATATCAGCGTAAAATAGCAGCTCTATGCCGCTGTGTTTCGTATGGTGAATGTAGAGAAACGGAGACCGTTTTAACTGGAAACGAGACATTCTATCTTAGTCCTCAGGGGTGCTAACTCATCTGCATTTTGATTCGTGATCGAGGATAGATGTAGATGTCTATGAGCCACAGCATCCACTTTCCATCAGGTGGACTGTGTGATCGTTTGTTACCCTTATTCTATAAAAAAGAATATATTTTTAGTCATCAATCATCATAGCCTTTTATATTTTTTTTTAAATATATTAAAAAGCAAATAGGTCCATAGGTCTCCAACAATGGCTGGTGGACTATTCGCAATGAACCGGGCGTATTACTGGGAGCTCGGCGCCTACGACGAACAGATGGCGGGCTGGGGAGGAGAGAACCTTGAAATGTCCTTCCGTATTTGGCAATGTATGTTTTTATTATTATTTATTACTAGCAGTTCCCGCGACTTCACCAGCGTGTAATTTATTAGGATTGATTTCATGGTTTTTTTTGCGCGGAACCCTAATTTCTTTTATTTAAATAAAAGTAGCCTAAGTTACTCCTTATAACATCAGCTATCTACCAGTCAAAATCCCGTCAAAATTGGTCCGGCGATTACGGAGATTAGCCGGAGAAAACAGACAGACAGACAAACATTTTAAAAATGGTGTTTTGTTATAATAAGTACCGTATATACTTTCATATGTATTTAGTAAAAAGCTGTTATTTTGACATTACAAACAGACACTTCAATTATATATAATAATATTTGCATAGATCAAAAATGTATGGAAATCCTGTTGCAGCCCGTGGACATTTGAAACCCACTTATTGCCTCATAGCCGGTATTAAACTGACTCTCTTAACTTTGAAACCGTATCCCGGCACAGCTGCTCGACGACAGACGGACTCCTAGGCGGGATTCCTATTACCTAAAAGTGTCAGTGGTTCTCCAGTTCAATTCGCGCGTTTATCATCTTTACTTGTATAAAGGTACCAGCCAAGGAGATAGTATCGTCACAAAGGTTTTTCATGTGCAAAACTTATATAAAATAAAACTTTTAATTTGTCATTAAAAATTAAGTGATACCAATAAATATGAAACAGCAATATCTTTTGTTTTATAATTTATATTTGCAATTGCTTTCACTTGGTGAAACTCCAGCTTCAATTATGTGATTTGGATAAACACTTGTACGAGTTTTACAATATTTATTTTAAATTATAAATACTAATTATTTTAAAAGAAACGACCGGTTTCACCTCACGGCATCATCAGGGTATCATCGTTTGTTTTAGGCGGAGGTACGCTAGAAACGATACCGTGCTCTCGTGTAGGTCACGTGTTCCGAAGCTTCCACCCGTACGGACTACCGGCGCACACGGACACGCACGGTTAGTATCGAGCTACCGAGGTAAATAAAAATATTCTCTTTATAATTCATTCATTCAATCATTACAGTATTGCAAAAGTTCACTAGTAAACATAGATCTCCCCCATAGGTTGTCGCATTGGCAGGAAACCGTAGTTCTCCTACTTTTTATTTCCTTCTGCATCGCCTCTTACTACATCCACGGGATGATATGGGGTAGTAAATTTACTGTGTAGTTACGGCCTTAAATATTTGTACCGTTTCCTTCTCATTTGAAAATTTTTGGATACTTATTTGTTTGTAAATCTGCCTTCTTCATCATTTTTAAACACTCTTATTGGATGTGGATTTCTCCCATCGAATGGAGATTTTATCTTAATTATCTTTTTTACAGGAATTAACACAGCACGAATGGCGGAGGTGTGGATGGATGATTACGCCGAACTCTTCTATTTACATCGACCGGACTTACGTGTATGTATTTAATGTGCGATTGTCATTATTTGTTTTTGTTAAGAATTCGATGGTCATTGGATAGAGCACTCATCATCATAACAGCCATTCGCAAGTCTGAAGATAGGCCTCCACCAATGAATGCAACAAAGCGCAGTCCTGAGCCACCTGCATCCATCGACTACCTGCATGTAGTAACAGGTCGTCACTTTATCTGGTGAGAGGTGGTCCTACATTTCGCTTACAAGTTCAAGGCGGCAATTACGGAAGACATACACTATTCAATAACCTTTCCTCCCTATCAGTTGTTAGCTCTGCGGTCCATTTCTACTTCAGCGTACTGATCCGTTGGGCTATGTTGACCACTCTATTTCTACTGCGGATATCCTCATTTCCATATCCTCATATCTACTCCGAGCGCCCGTATTTTGCTATTGTCTTAGTTCGTTGACCGTCATTGAGCTTTGTCATATGGCCAGAAGAGATTTATTAGTCGTCAAAGCTTCGTTCATTGATTAGCAGTATGCACCGTAAAAAGATAATCAAAGGTTTTCTCATCTACCTTAAAGCCCCATATAACAAACACAATCCAAATGATTACAAAACTGTTTGGTTAATAATAGAGATTATCGGCTTTTTATCAATTTGCTATTTTTTTCTCATATAGATCACTTAACATACCATTGATATACTCTTTCTTAGATCTCTTTTAGATAATTATACATTTAACAGAATAACCCCAAGATCGGTGACGTCACACACCGTCGAATCTTGCGCGAGAAACTCCAGTGCAAGAGCTTCCAGTGGTACTTGGACCACGTGTACAAGGAGAAGTTCGTGCCCGTGCGCGATGTGTACGGCTTCGGACGGTGAGTACTATATTAGAGTATTTTTGTCATTAATTATGATTTTGATTCATTATGATTCAGAATTATTACGTCCACTGCTGAACATGGCCTTCCTTATAGATTGTCTCATGAAGATGATAATGATGGATCAGGAGGATACTTGCTATAGTTGTCACGCTTGGTAAGCGGGTGAGATCATCATCATCGTCAAGATCATGAAACTTTGCATACTAACTGAACTAACTATAAAGCAGGGCTTATGTTTTTTTTTAATTACCATTATTTTCACTGTAAAAAGAAATTGCCTAAACTATCGGCGTCCTGAAGTTTGGAACCGGACGACGGGAAACAAATCATGTTTTCGTCTAACATAGTACTTAACATTAATCCTGAACTTTACCATATATTTATTTCAAAATTAATGCTGCAATATTTTCGGCATAACGGAGGATCTTGCTAAGCTTTTTGAGGTTATATTTCCCCTTAATGGGAGTAATAGTCGTGTAATGGCGTAACTATACTAATGTTACACACTCGCTGCCCGCGGTGCAATAAAATGGGAAAATGTGATACTGCCTGTTGCGCTCTCTGTCGCACGGCAGGCCCGCCGTCAGGCCCGTAAGTGCGTATGTAAGTATTATTTTGTGATAAGCACCTGTTTTATACCTAAGAACTTTTGTGGCGATGTATATTCATTATTTAGTAAATAATCTAGCTGTAACCGGCACGCGTTGAACGCCTCTTTTTTGTAAAAACCTTTGCAGACGATGCAAAACAACTCATCAATTTTATCGTAATCGAATAAATTGTTTAGGAATGTATAGAAGACAAACAAAGATATATTTAGTTTTTAGGTAAAAGTATTAGACTTACACGATTAATTCCTTCTTATACTTCGACAGTAAAAGTACCCTACGAATATTTTTTCTTTCTCCTTTAGATTTACAAACCCGTCTAGCGGTCTCTGCTTGGACACACTGCAGAGAGAAGGCGAAGCGTCTCCATTGGGCGTATACCCCTGCCACGATACGTTGCAGGCCACACAGTACTTATCTCTGTCTCTCTCCGGTGAACTACGTGATGAAGAAAAATGCGCAGAGTTGCAGTATTCCAGGTAGAGATCGCGCTGTATCCATTATAACCATAGAATACTATAATACATACATAATGGAACGGGGGAGTGGGCGGAGCCCGTGTAGCCACTAAAATGTCACTAACATGTCAAATCACACGTATAAATGTCAACACGAGATGTTGATTAAAACTACTTTTACGGATTTTATCGCGTTTTATTTTTAATACCCGACGTTTCGGGTGCTTTCCAGCACCCACGGTCACGGGGGACTGAGGTGACTGACGTCCTGATGTCAAAGTTAACCCGGAGTATCAGCTTTTTAATTATTGTCTTTGTTCCGATCTACACATAATGAACTAACCGTGTTTTGAAGTCTTGCAGTGGTATGCTTGGGTTTAGTTTTAATTTAATTAATTATAGGATCCCAAGCAGGTGGTAGTACCCAGCCTCCCTCTCTATTGAAATTAGGATGTTTTTTAATTTCAATAGCCTCATGTATCATCCTTGGTAGGAATCGATGGTCTTTCGCGAGGATTTGTGGTCTATCAAATCTGATGTAATGGTTGGGGCCATCTAGGATATGATCGCAAACTGCAGACTTCCTGGAACTTTGATGCTTCACGTCAGCTACGTGTTCTTTTACGCGGGTTCTGATTGATCTCTTTGTTTGCCCTATATATGATAGACCGCAATCACAATCAAGCTTGTACACTCCTGCATCTTGTAGAGGAATATGACACTTGACGGATGGTAAGAACTGATAACTAATCTTCTTCGGCGGCTTGTGGGATGTTCTAATAGAAGCTCGCTTCAAGATGTAGCCAACCTTGTCTGTGACTCCTCTGACATATATGGTAGTACAGCAGGCACACGCTCGACTGTGGCCGGCTTCACTCGGTCACTGTGACGTAGGCGCGGGATCCGAAGCTTGTTGTCGTGCAGAACCTGCTTGACGTGCTGAAGCTCGGCGGCCAAGTGTTTGCTGTCACAGATCCCTCGTGCTCTCTGTAACAAAGATTTGCCCACGGTAGCTAACAGTGAAGGATGATGGTGAGATTCACTATTAAGTATCGGTTTGTATGGGTCTTTTTTCTATACACAGTACGACCTATGGTGTTGTTAGGATTTCGGATGACTAACACATCTAGGAAAGCTAAGGAATTATTTGCCTCTAACTCCATAGTAAATTGAATTTTAGAGTTTATGGAATTAAGATGTTCTAAAAATGCAGTTACTTTGTCTGATGGTAAAATTGTGAAAGTATCGTCTACGTACCGCTTGTAGAACCTTGGGCGAATAAATATAGCTGACAATAGGAGATACAGGTGAGCCCATCGCAACCCCATCTACTTGCTTGTAAAACTTCCTTCCACAATAGATAGCCAGATGTAAGGCAATGTCTTAGTAGTACTGCATATTCTAGTGGCATGTTATTTTCATCTAGTTTCCTAGTTATAATTGAGATACAGTCTTCAACAGGTAGGCATGTAAATAGAGACTGAACACCAAAACTGGCCATGGTTTCATCGTCAGCAAGATGTAGGTCTTTTATCGCACTGACAAAATGGTATGAATCCTTAGTATGTGCTCTTGTGTGTCCTCTGAGTGGTGATAATATTTCTTCTAATTAATAAAATTAAAACTAAACCCAAGCATACCACTGCAAGACTTCAAAACACGGTTAGTTCATTCTGCGTAGATCGGACCAAAGACAGTAATTAAAAACCTGAAGGTACTCCCGGTTAACTTTGACATCGGGACGTCAGTCACCTCAGTCCCCCGTGACCATGGGTGCTGAAAAGCACCCGAAACGTCGGGTATTAAAAATAAAATAAATAAAACGCGATAAAATCCGTAAAAGTAGTTTTAATCAATGTATAGTGTTCGCGTAAATATAAGAAATCAACACGAGATGTGTTTGGACGTTACAATCGTTTCCTAATTTCGTGCAAATTATTTAGAAAACGCCAAATTGCACACACACAACCCGCGCGCGCACACCCCACACAAATAAATATGTATTAAAATTTAAACGATTTTCTGAATGATGATCTTGAATTAATCAAAAGTCTAAAATATGTAAATTTACTCAGTCTGTCAACACAGTGAATAGGGTATGTAGTAGTGATAATATGGCGTAATTGCTTGTATGTGTGCTCCCGGCGACGCTGAACCTCGTACAAAATAAGGTTGACAGCCGTTCTATTGTGTATTATAGTATTCTATAACTTTAACAGCAATTAACTTTAAATTTACTTCCAATAAGTGTTATGTAATAATTTATTTCGATAAAAAATTATTCTGTTTACATACAATCTATCTGATGGTAAGTGGACGCAGTGGCCCGTAGATACCTACTTACATTTATTCTCAACTAAACCAAAATTATGCGTTGCCACCTGTGAAGACTAAGATGGAAATAAATGTAAGAGTCCGGAGACTCTACTGGTAACGTGACATAAACAAGATGTAACGTAAAAAGAGACTCATCGTACGGCAAATAGCAGTATTAAGCTGGTATTATATGTTAGTATACTCTGCGCGCATGGTCATTCACTGAACGAGCTAAAATATTCGTGCTGCAACCATTATAGCTGCATAGAGGCTCTACCTCTTTTAATGGGGTAGAAATCTTATTCTGTCTAGAAATCAGGGCAGGGCTTTCACTGCTAAACACCAAAGCACCTACATTTAATAGGTGGTAGGAACCATATTATAATATTATACTTCTACAAGTCTCGTTGTTCTAGTGGTTGTAGCAGTGCCACTGCCGATCATGAGGTCCTGGGTTCGAATTCCGGGTCGAGCCAAAAAATCAATTATTGAGTTTTTCTGTCAAGAAATTCTCAGTAGCTGCCCGGAGTCAGGAAGTTGGCGGTGTCTCACCGTGCCTAGGAAAGCACGTAAAGCCGTTGGTCCTGCGCTTGATCTCTCTGCCGGTCGTGTTGTCGGCTCTTAATCCGTTGGAACGGCCATCGGATTAAGAAAGTGAGGGAATAGAGAGTGCAACTGTGCTTGCGCATGCACTTGGGCACTATAATACTGTAGAGACAGGCTGCCGTGGCCGAAATTCGGTCTGGAGAACATTATTATTATTATTACTTCTACAAACATCCACATTGTTTTTCTGTTTGTTGATTAAACCTGTAATTATAACGATAGTTATAGTTACAGGCTTTAAGGTATAACATATTTGTAGTACTCAGAAATAACGTAACCTTTTTTGTTTAAAGTAAGTTGCTAGTGGCTATAGGTTGCTGTTACCATATACTATCGGGTGGTTTGGAATATTAATAACTTTATGGTATTTACTCTATTATGTAGACGGAATCCAGACGAAGGTGGCGAAGGTGAAGGCAGAAAAGTGCTTATGGTGACGTGCCATGAAAAAGACCGTGGTCAGGTAAATGCTTTTGTATTTGTGCTAAGACTTACAAAATTCATCACGATCCTTGATCTAAATACAGAAGTTAAGAACTTATATTTGTAAAATAAGTTCAACTACATATTTTGATATTCAGTTTAAGTTATAAGCGATAGTGGTTTAATGGCAGGGTGCGGACCACGAAATTATAGGTCGTAAGTATCCGTCACTCGGTTAACGACAGTAGTGATGGTAGTAGTAAACCTTTCCTTTCATAAGCGTTACCTTGCCTGGAGTAGTTAAAGAGCATATTAATAATGTTAATAGTATTGCTGGTGTATATTTTTAAAACAAGTGGTAAAAATAAACATTTTGTACAACTGATTTCAATATAAATAAAATGAGAACATCGTCAATGTTGTCGAAGTCAATTAAATACGCATTATTAAGGATAACTCAAAAAACTACTGGTCTGATCTTGATCAAATTTATATGGAATCACACGAGAACCACCAGCTTTCTAGAATCATCAAAATTTATTCGCTTAGAAAAAAGTTCTAAAGTAAGACAAAAAAATTTAATCGAATTGAGTACCTCCTCCTTTTTTAAAGTCGGTTAAAATCTTTATAAATAAACGGACTTTATCCAAAAAGTAGGATAAATGCAAGTTCACTAGTACTTTGGGTATTATCCGTAACTAATATATTACTAGAATAAAATAAAATATTTTATTCTCCTTTTGGAAAGGGCAGCCATACCAGTAAACAACGAAATATGACTATGACCTAAGTTTATCTTCCGGGCTTAGCTCTGTTTAGAGGTTTCACTTTTCGCACTGGTGGTAGATTTTTAAGATCGATAGGACCTTTATTGAAGCTAAAATGGAATGAAATATTTTTGGCTTTGTGGCTACATTCTCTGCCAATCTAATTATACTATATACTATATATAATACATATATGTATGAAGTGAGTGACAAGCTTAAAAATATTAATGTATTGTTGAATCCATGCAGAAATGGCGCTACCTGAGCAGCAAGCAGCTGCAGCACGTGGAGTCGCAGCTGTGCCTGGAGGCGGGCCCGCAGCCCGGCGCGGACGTGGCGGCGCGCCCGTGCCGGCGCGACGCGCCCGCGCAGCGCTGGCGCATCGACTACAGCGAAGACAACGACTTCCGAGCTACCAGTGAGTGGAAATAGAACTAGTGTGATCAATACTGCTTTAATCTACATTAATAAGGTACTCTGTGAAAATGGACTGACCATGAAAGTTAAAGAACAGGAGAACGATCACTACGTACTAAAGCATATCCCGCCTGTCCTTGAAAATTGTAGAATGTATAGCGGCGCTGACGTCGGTGAGTAGTGACTGCGAAGTTAGCTGTTTATGAGTACAAGTAGATGAAGTTAGTTGAATAATGTACAAATTTTCATTTCATTTCTAATGAGAAAATTTTCATGATCCGTAATTTTGTAATTTTAGACAAAAAGATACATTAAAAAATAGAGAAATATTTTATTGTGCATGGATGTGCAAGTGGTTTAACATCTGATCGGAAAAATAGACTCAAAATGACTTTTATTGACCGAACTGAGCGACCGCAGCGCCTCACTTATGGTGTCCATATTTCTGGACACTATTTTCTACGGTGATCGTTCTCCTGTTCTCTAACCTTCATGGGACTGACTGATGACATACATAATAATACTACTTGTTTTAAAAAACATCAGTATCAGACAAAATCCATTCTTTAAGGGAAAGGCCCAAGTTTTACAGTGGATTTTTACATAGTTGAAGAAGGAGGTTGTAAGTGATAATTATAATAAAATTTGTTTCAGACGAAGTGGAACCTAGCGAGCAGGAGCTGAGGCTGCAACGGCTAAGAGGACAGCGGTAAGATATTGGGTGCGTTTGGCAGAAAAAAGCGCTAGCAAGCGCTTGTAAGCAAAATGGCGATCGTCAGCGCTAAGCGCTGTCAAATCGTAAGTAGCTATTTTCCTCTAGGACACGATGTTAGTTTTAACCAGGGAACCTAACCTAATTTAAATATATGTTTGTAAAGTATTCATATTAAAAACTTACTAATCATGAATTTTTAATAACATGTATATGTTTATACATGTCATTATATTACTTAAAACTAATATTGCACAAAACAACTTATAAACTCTACTTCAAAACAAACAAATTAAATAAGCAAAATGGCGGATTGTGTCAGCGCTACTGAAGTAGCAGTCGTGTCCTGGCCGAAAACTATTTTAGCGTTTGTAAGCGCTTGCTAGCGCTTTTTTCTGCCAAACGCACCCAATATTTAATTAAATTATTTTGTCACGTTGCATTATATTATGATTGCAATGTGAATGTTTACTTAATTATACTTCTATTTATATATTAAATATATAGTTTATATTATTTTTAACGTTATGTCAATGTATCTGTCTATTATCTCACTACGCTTGGCTGGGAGTGAATTACCTGGTAACATTGAGACAGCAATGTCTTTATGCATTATCTCCCAAATAATAAAACAATAAATAAATAATTGTCTCGACCGGTGAAGGACAATGTGATCACAATTTACACATAATGCTTCTGTGTTTTGTATGGTCAGTGATAAGAACAGAAGTACTAACTTCTTATTAGTAGCGTATTACCCCATTAAGTCCTAAAGGGGGACACCAGTGTGAAATAAAATGTATGCCAGTGTGTTGGCATACACACTGGCATACATTTTATTAATTAATTGGCGATATGTTGAAAATTTTGTTGAAAATTTTATAAATAATAGGCGATATTTTGGAAATGGGCCACGTTAGAAGTACCCTTAACCGACGAGCACGTATGCGTAGATATATGGATGTAAAGGAGGCGAAAGAGGTATGTCAGGATCGTGCCAAATGGAAGTCCGTAGTCTCTGCCTACCCCTCTGGGTGACAGGCGTGAGTGTTTATATGTATGTATGTATGCCAGTGTGTTTTATGTGTTGTAAGACCACACCGGCATTCATTTTATTTCTTCATTATGAATACACGTCGGCGTCTGTAAGTCACAGCATTTATTATAGTTTACAGCATTGATCATCAGTTAGAACGTGTTCTTGTTTATGCTTACTTATGTAATAAATTATCAAAAATTTTTTTAAGTGACAACGTCCAAAGTGTGCATTACGAAAACTGTCTGGTCTGTAATTATATTTTACTGAAAAACTACGAGTATGTGATAGTTACAATGTATAACTAAGCTTAATGCTGCAATTATAAAATCATAAAGAAAAAAGCAGCTCACACGCGATAGAAGTGAAACCTTCAAATGATATGAAATATAAAATAAAAATATTTCACGGCAAATTATTTATACATGATAATTTTCAAGCACAAGTGCGGCATAAAATGTTACATAAAAATTTATTTTGTGGCATATATATATATATATATATATATAAAAAGAGTTTGTTCAGAATCGTTTACTGAATCGATTCCTATCATTTTTAATGTAGGTAATTTTTTAACCCAAAAATAATTAACAGTCATACTAAATCTGTACAGTCAAAACAAACTGAAATGTACCGTAACTTAACGCAATAAGAGTTTTAAAAGTGCAGTTTTATTTGTATTATTACTAATGCTGTCATTCAATAAAAATGAAGAAAAATGAACTTTATTTCAAGGACGTTAAAGTCTTTGCGTTCGTGGATTTGTACTGTGACCACAACATTCTTCCGGAATTAGTATAACTAATTTGATAAATAATCAGTGCATACATTTTTTTAACTAAAATTCAGTGTATGTATTATGATTATAACATAATATAATAATTGGGTTATTTTATCGAACAATACTTGATTGATTCTCAATTTGGTACGTAAAACAGACGCCAGATGGCCTGAAGTTATGAAATCGTGGATTGTTATAAATGGATTAGTATGTTAAGATAATTTTATTCCATTTGGTTAATTTTATTTATTTAATAAATTTGTAAATTTTTATATTGTTTATTTTAACAGTTAAAATTTATTTAACCATTTTTAAAGCACCGCGCAAAGAGGAGACCGAGATAACAGGACACATTGTAAAAGGGCAAAAAAAGGCAGTAGACGAATGGCGGATTCGAACCCATAACCGTTTGAGTTCGCGGTCTACACTGTATTCTATCTCATTCTCTCGCAGGCTAAATCCTATAGATTTGTCTCTTTTTCGTGTCGCTTTTTCGTTTCATCAAGTTTCAAATCACGATTCTAAAGAAGTTTTCACTTCAAAAAGAAAGTCTAATTCGATTTGGGGAAATGGGAAATTATAGAATGGGAAATTTACACGCACTTGTAAAAGAGAGAAAGTTGCCAGACCTCAGGCACTCCAATCGCTAATCCGCCTGCTAATCGTGACGATTTTGACTAAACCTTCCCACAACGAGAGACCGCAATGGCCAACAGCAGACTTTATACGAGCTAACACAGAAAAAAAAACTCCCAATGTTGATCTCCGTATTACAGGTATAGGACCTGATTACGTGGGAATTATAACAAAAAATATGTGCCTACTGTCTTACTCGTCTGGCATGTCGTCAAAGGCGACTAATGGGATATTCCTTAACCACCTGTCATTTCTTTGCTCTGCTCTTCCAACTCTGCCTATTCTTCGACGTGACGCTATGTATGTATATGTGTATATTCAGAAGAACAATCAAAATATAATGTCTATTTAAATTTCGTTTCGCCTTTAGCCGGATGTCCCGTTCGCTTCTCTCGTATGAGCCAGATAACGAAGAAAAGGTTTCGCGAAGAGCTCACGTCAAGGCGAAGCGGCACGGTAAGAAATCAAAGAAGCGAAGTAAAAAAAAGCAAACAAAGAACAAGTTCATCCTCAAACTGGTCCGCTCTGCGACGAATGGCACAGAAGAACACTTGGAGGTCGACATACACTGCAAACATCAGAAATTATATCCGAATAATACCTTCGTGAGAGATCTTGTGACGATCCTCAATGACAATAATATTAAGGTGAGATATAAAGAATTCTGCTTGGAATTACGACGCTGTGGCTTACCAATTAGTTGAGGCGCTGAGGGCGCGGGTTGGAATCCTGCACAGAACAAGTATTTGTACGATCTACAAATAATTGTTCGAGGTCTGGATGTTTAGTCCACTTAGACTTTAGACTACTTTTCTAGGAAGAAGTTTAGCATTATAAAATCTATACAAAATTCTCTATACTGTGGTCTAAACAAAAGTCGGGTTTTACTTTATTACAAAAATTTTTTATAGTATTTTGATAAAAAAAAAAAAACAAAACCAAGCGAATGTCGGCAGCGTGATAATCAAAATTATTTCAATATATATTACTTATTTACGTAAAAAGATAAATTATATACACACAAAAATTTTCATTACAATTTTATAATAAAACACTATACTAAAACACTAGTAAAATCCAAAAATCAACACAATAACATTCACGCGAAAATGGCGTGCGAAATGAACGTAGATTATAAATAAATAATCATAGGATAACAGTTTTTTTATTGCACTAGAGGATAGAGTATTTCATATTGATTATATAATGCCAAACTTCTTCATAGAAAAGTAGCCTCTATATATAAGTTTTTATATGTTAAAGTGCTGTGGGTGGGCGCGACTTCATGAGACCGCTAGGGATTTGACGGAATATGACCGTGGTCTCATGAGACCGCTAGGCGGTTGAGAGGTTATTTTAAATTAGATAAGTATTTAGTAAATAATAAGTAGCCGGGTAATTATAAGGTAGGTTTTAGCGGATCAATAAAATACAGGTACGAATTTATAAAACGGTAATTATTAATCTAATGTTAGTTTTTTAATTGCTTTTAAATAAGTGTACCTACTTACTTCAAATTTAAGCTCTGGTATTTCACCTCCAACCATCTTGCGCAGTCCAGCCTTGCTTACATAATGTACGAATCATTAAAATGGATGAAACAAACGAAACTCTTTATGATGGGCTACTAGTTGGGGCGTTTAATGCTACCACCCATTTATTTGCCTATTCACCGATTTTCGGAAATTTTAAATTGAAAAAGTATTTTAAACGTATTTACCATTATTATGTACCTATAAAAAAAGCTATTCAAAACTTTTATTTTAGACACATTGATCCATATGGGTTAGGAATACGAAGGATCTTCTTATACTATAATAATTATATTCGAGTACAACGTAGCACAGCACTAGCTCTAATTCGGGGAAAACCCGAAGCGCAAGGCGCGGGGCACGTTCTGTGTCGCCCCAGCCCCACCCTTTGACACACTAAGTAATTTTGTTAAAATCAGTGTTTTCACATCGAAATATTACATATCGGTGAAAAGAAATATTGTTCTTCTTAGTTTGCTTCCGTGAATCATTTTTACAGCTTGGCACTGTACATTTCATCATGGTAACTTAAAATAAATATCGCCGAGAAAAACAACGCGCGTGACCTTCGTGACTAATAACGTCTCCTTTAGCATTTCGAGACTGTTCATACCCATGCTCATTGTTCATACTCGCTAACGCGCGCTCCATAGCTTGCTTATAAATACTCTAAGGGCTTATCCTTACATACTTATATATTTTTTTATTTAATCTTAAAATGTGATGCTATATGTGGGCGGTAGGTACATCATTTCGTAGTCGAATTTTCCTGAGGGCGGTACGTAATACATAAGGTAAAAACCTATGTCTTGCATGATTTATGTTAGGACCTGTAAGACACCGGTGGTTAATTTGCCTTAAATTAAAATTTTAAATAAGATAAATCGTTTTTTTAATAAGGGCGTGTAGATGTTGAAATGAAATAAAACAAGCTGTGTGTGAGATATTACCAAAATTCTTTTTTTATTTGAAAGGCCCGTATGTGCCATTAAGTGTGGAACGCCTCGGCTTCTTATAGTGGAACGGATCCAAATGGTCCAATTTTCATTGACTCTTCTGCATAGATCCGGCTGAACTTGAGCGATGGCCTGTATTATGTTCACCTTTAGGATCTTGTACGGATGTAGGTCTAAGTTCTGACGCAAAATTCGCCAAGTTGAAGTCTGCGAAATCCGAGTTCTTGTGAATGGTGAGGAATCGACTGCCTCGGGTTCTGCTGTACACTTTCACGAACCGCGACGATATTCTCGTCTGATCTTGCGTTCCTTGAACGTACGGGTATTGACTGATTTTTTACCTAACCGTTCGTTTCAAATTTAGCCACCAAACGTTGATGAGTCGACTGTGAAGAGCCACCACGTCTACTGTCTAATGGGCGCAATGCGCGCAACGTTTGCACCAACGCTCATTTTGATTGTTAAGTATTATCATTTGAACGTGCTGTTCAATCGTGTAACTTGCCATGGTTATTTGGCATAAGTAACTGAATAATAAACAAAAGATTTGATATATGTCATCAAAACAAAATGGCCGCCACGGGCCGCCAAAAACTACCCGCGCCAATTGAAAAACCCTTAATAATAAAATGTCCTTTTTTCTAGGTAATTAACAACGGCCGCATCTTCGAGCGCAACAAGGTTACAGACCTTGGCAAAGATCAGAAAGTGGAGAAAGTTTTGCAGAAGATGGACCTCAGAGGATCTTCAGTGGACACATTCACGTCCAACATTGTTACTCCGACTGTGATATTGCCGCAGAGTGAAGTGAAACTGGCCCCAATAATGCAGGTAAAAAATGCGTGATCCAAATGCAGTGCATGCATGCAGATGCGTGTCCCAAAATTCTCAAAATAATTACATATATATGAAATAAATATAGTAGAACTAACTGGCATCCGACGCGTTGCTGCGCGGAAACATCGTTTTAAATTTGGAAGGCATATATTTTTTAACGGCAAGTTATCCCAATATTTGGCCCTTGTAAAATTAATTTTAAATTACAATATTTAAGTCCAGAAATACAAATATACATCCTTTATTGAGTAATATTAAAGGTTCAAAACACGATACATTGTAATTTGCTCGATCGAAAAAAAAACGAAACAGTGTAGATTTTAAAACTTTTTTTCATTTTACATCGTAATTACAACACGAAATTAATTGCCGGACGTTGTTAAGGTTGAACCAGTGTCAAGTTTGCTATGCGTATTAATACAAATTATTATGATAGGTATCTCCAAGAGCTTTGATTATAATTTATTTAACGTGAAGTTTCACTGATATAAAGTAAAACACGAAGCGCGGAGAGTGGTCGTATGATTTGTTTTTGTATTTTTGTTTTCGCGCGTAACCAAGTCCAACAAAATAATTGGTTGACCCTGCAGGCCATCCCTGGATCTTCCCGCTAATTTCAAATGCAAAGCGCTCCAAATTTCGCCAAATTATGTTGCGAAGTCTCGAAGTTATGTTAAAAAAAAACGTTTTTTATTCTTTCTCCTTCGATATCTCACGAAGGATTGAACCGATTTTTATTTTCCAAACGGCATTCGACGTCATTTTTTGAGTTTTTCAAATTTTTTTATTTTTGAGTTTTCTCAAAATCTACACGTCCGAATCAGTTCATATTATCACCAAATCTATTCCACATTGAGATCTTTAGAACGCCGCAAACTGCATCTCAATGGATCAAGACGTTCAAAAGTTATGAACAGGTTACACACACACACACGCACGCACGCACACACATGCAAGCACGCCCGCACACACGCACGCCCGCACGCACGCACGCACGCACGCACGCACGCACGCACGCACGCGCACACACACACACACACACACACACACACACATCCGTACGGGCGTCCACGTGAAATTAGAATAGCTTCCTGGGATGTCAAAACTTCGAGATCTGATGAAAACTCGATTTTCGAAAATCGGGGTGAAACCAATAACTTCCCAATTTTTGGAAATTTTCAATTTTCTTAGCGGGAAGTTAAAAAAAATTTTGTCGCCTGTAATAGACTTGTACAAAGATATTCTTTATTTATGGAAGAAGGACCACAAGGACTATATGAATAAGCAATAGCGACTTTTTTGTTTCGATAATATGTATTTGATGACTTTTACGTAGTAGAATCACACTACAGCCATATTATGTTTGTAGCACGAATGGGTCGGCTCGACTGGGTAAAGACCACGTTCTCACAGAATACCAGCGTTAAAAAGGAGAACCCAATACCTTTTTCCTGGAAACGAGAAATTCTGTCTTAGTCCTCAGGTGTTACAACGCATCTGCATTTTGATTCTTAATCGAGAATAAATCTACGGGGCACAGCATCCACTAACCATCAAGTAGAATGTATGCTCGTTTGTCATCCGTATTCTATAAAAAAATATAGATGGCATCGCGTCCAGCCGCTCCAAAATTCGCTGTCTGACTGAGAAAGGGTGTTAAATCGGTGTAGTATAGTGTAATAATGGACGTATCTAATAAATGGCCACGCCCACTCTTAATTCAGGGATTCCCGATTCAGTGTAGTATGTGTATGTACCCGTGTAAGTCCGAACTTAGATTTAAGGATTTTGCGTTGAATTCTTTTAAATAATCGATTTATGACTAAGACCTACAAGGTAAAGGAAAAATTAAGATATTCAAAAATGTATTTCTTTTAGCAGGTTGAGAAACATCCATGGCGTGCTGGGAAAAAATTTACATCTGATAGACTCCGTGCGGACACTCTACCTTTGGATGCCATAGGATCCCTTAATGTGGAAGGCAACGGTGTAAATGATCCCATATCGGAACCGCCGTCACAGAACAAGATCATCGTCGAAGAGTTTGTTGCAGTGAAACCACTGTCGGCCAACACTGAACCACCACAGGTAGTACAGAAAGATTCTTATATTTATGAGATAAGCAGAAAGTAGTGTCTGTTTTTCTAGAACTCAGATAAACGGAAGGATAAAAAGGTCCATTTTTTAATATGATTCCGGTCAAGAGAGGATCTGAGGCAAGCATACTCGTAAGTTTGGGTCATTAAATTTCAATTATTTTAATTATTGACTGAATTTCTATTTTAACACTACAGCTGGGCTAGCATGGGCAGGAGACAGTATATCCACGGGGAGAGGATAAATTTTTTATCCCTTACTCAGTTTTAGCCACCCTGCGAACATGGGCAGGAAACAAAAATTATATCCCCCGATTATATCCACTGTCAGGAGATAAAATTATCTTATCCCTATAGTATATCCCCGTTTGACATAACGAGTAGACATTTGTCCCACCGTCCGTAGCATGGGGCCAAAGGAAAGAGAAAAAATGATCCCTTTTTGACATTTGAAAGGGATAATTTTATCCTCATTCGTGGACGTGGGTTTAAGCTTATCTTCAAACCATTTTAATACAAAAAAGTTGTCTCGAGTCTACTGCAACTACATTTTCGTATCAGAAATTGAAAAACAAGAAAGAAAATTACATCGGCGATCGATACGTGATCAGAGTACTTAATCTATTGGAATTCCCCGACAACGAATTTCTACGCCGGTTTCGGATGCTCAAAGATTTTTTTTGTGTCTGTGTAAAAAACTCTATGAGGCTTTAAAGCCTATTAATTCTGTGGATGGACTACCAGTGCATATTAAAGTAAGCATCTATTACAACCACCTTGTGCAAAAACATAGTATATTTGCAATAAATACATGTAGCTAAGTTGTCTTAATATTTTTTTCTAGGTAGGTAGTTTACATCTTTCAGTCTCTTGGCAGATGGTAGTTACCAGAGAGGTACGAGTTAAGACCATGGAATGGCTGTTGTTTAAACAACAAATAACCAGCAAATACTTGACCTAAGTTATTGGGGCCACCATAAGAATGTGGGGAACAATATACTTTAATTAGTCTCTTGTGTAGGTAAATACAAGCTTCAGTGCACCTACTTCTTTCATTTTATTTTTGACTAAAACTGAAGTGAATATAATTTCCGAGCATATAACAAGCAAGGCAAAATATAGCTAGAGGATACCTAGCAGAGCATGGTCTGCCAGATATTCTTAGCACCACCCATGTTGATATATTTCACCTACCATCCCAGACTGGGGTTTAGTACAAGAAAAGAGCGGTCTACAATTCTAATCTGTCCTTGTGTCGTTTATCCAAAAATTCCAGGAGGATGGGAGGATGATATGTCCCCAGGTGGCGCACAAAATCACTAAAAAAATAGCAGGTTGTGGCAACTAATAGAGCGCCGCAAGCGATTTACTCTTTTGCTAATGTGAGAAAAAACGGGTTTTCACTTAAAAAATCACTAAAAATTGTTCGGCGGCAAAAAAAAATTACACCACTAGATGCGTCTCGTTAATACGCAAAATTTGACACTAAATACACTGAAATCTGTTACTTTTTTACTACTTTTCGAATTTTTTACTGCGGGAGCGTCACAGTTTCGTGGGGTTCCGCCTTGTTTCCTTGTACGTGCCCTTTATAGTTTATAGCTTTATACTATGGTATTGTTACGAGCTTCGGGTTCGTGACAATAAAAATTGCCGATAAAATTACCTAAATTAACACTTTAATTTACTTTACACAAATTAAAACTTAAAACACTAATAATTAAACACACTAATTCACTTAATTCCGCTCCGAAGCTTCGCTTGTGTCGCCGAGTTCAACTCTGCCTCCTCGCATCTTGCAGCGCCTACTTATATAAATTAGCAAAATATCCAGAATGTTCAAGTAAACACGCGCAAGGTACCGAGAGTTCGAGTTTTAAACTTCAAGAAGTTTAGTTCTTCGGTTCGAGACTAGATGGCGCTAGTGCGCCGATTTGAGGCATTGGAGCGCGTAACACTGCCCCCTCCTAAGACATGCTCGTCCCGAGCATTATCGGTCCCATAATAACGCGCTAGGCGATCCACATGGACGATCTTAGCAGTCCCTCTTGCGCCTTTCTGTATCCGGTAGGTTACATCGTTGATCCTGGTCACAATCCGGTACGGGCCGTCCCATTTAGCTTGAAGCTTAGGAGATTTCCCTTTGCTGCGGACTGGATTGTGCAACCACACAAGTGAACCTTCGTCGAACCCTTTGTTGTTCATTTTGCGGTCATACCGGGTTTTCATCTTTTCAGACATTTGCTGGCCCGATTGTCTGACGTGCTCATAAACGTCATTCATTTTGTTCCGCAAGTCATTTGCATACTCGGTTATACTGCGTGGAGCATCAGGTGGTATCCCGGTGATCAGGTCTGCAGGCAGCCGTAATTCTCTTCCAAAGTTTGCGAAAGCTGGTGTCACTGCTGTACTTTCGTGAACAGCGCTTCGATATGACAACAAAAACGGTTGTATGTGCTTGTCCCAATCTCGTTTCCGATTGTCTACAACTTTTGCTGGGTACCTCTCCAATGTCTGATTAAATCGTTCTACCATTCCATCAGATTGCGGGTGATAAGAAGTCGTTCTTGTTTTATGAGTACCCATAACTCGGCAAGTTTCCTGGAATATTTGAGACTCAAAATTCCTTCCTTGATCGCTGTGAATCTCTAAAGGTACACCAAAACGACAGAAGACTTCATGAACTAGCTTATCAGCAACTGTTGAAGCTTCTTGATTTGGAATGGCGAAGACTTCTGGCCACTTAGTGAAGTAATCCATCACAACCATGAAATACCTGTTACCGCTTTCACTCTCCGGAAACGGCCCCGCCACGTCGATGGCTATTCTCTCCCATGGTGCACCAACATTGTACAACTTCAATGCACCTCTACTACGAGTCTGAGGTCCCTTTACAGCCGCACAACTTGTACATTTGCGACACCAGTCCTCGACATCGTTTCGACAGTGGACCCAGTAAAACCGTTCTCGGATTTTCAGTAGAGTTCGTTTAACTCCCAGATGGCCTCCTGAATAATCATTATGGTACAGCTGTAGAACATCCGGTACTTTAGCTTTAGGGACAACCATTTGTAATACAGCTGTCTCCCCGAACATTTTCCCATTTACGGTACAGAACTCCATCCTGAAGCAGCAAGCTGTCCCACTGGGCCCAATAGCTTTTAGTGGTTGAACTCATCGCTGAGACGTCGCTCCACTTGGGCTTGGGAGCACTGGCCTTCATCCATTCCAGGATCGGCTTGATGTCCGGATCTTCCTGCTGTGCACGTTGTAAGCTGTCCTTCCACTCGTTGCTGAGGTGGTCTGCCCTGAGCATCCTCACGGATACCACTTCCTTACTCTCTTGCCTAGTACAATGTTTGCAATCTTCAGGACAAGGTCTTTTGACAATGCATCTGCGTTGCCATGAGATTTCCCGTTGCGATGTTCGATCTCAAAGTCGTATTCCTGCAGTAGTTCAATCCACCTCGCAACTTGTCCTTCTGGATTTTTAAACTGTAATAGCCATTTTAGTGCAGCATGGTCAGTTCGTAAGTGAAATTTTCGCCCCAGAAGATATTTGCTAAAATGCTGCAACGACTTTACCACAGCTAGCAATTCGCGTCTTGTGACACAGTAGTTCCTTTCCGGTTTTGACAACGACTTGCTGAAGTACGCTATCACGACCTCTTGGTCACCATTCCGTTGAGACAACACACCGCCAAGTCCTATATCACTTGCGTCTCTGTCAACTATAAATTCTTTGCTTGCATCAGGGTATCCCAAAATAGGTGTTTTGCACAGACGGTCCTTGAGCTCCTGGAATGCGATATTGCAACTTTCATCCCAGCAAAAATGTCGCTTCTCCTCGGTTAGCTTGTAGAGGTTTGGCTATATCCGCAAAGTTCTTCACAAATCGCCGGTAATAGGAGCACAAACCCAAAAATGCTCTAACCTGCGTCTTGTCTTTTGGAACCGGCCAATCCTTGACAGCGGCGATTTTCTCTGGATCTGTGCGGATACCTTCTTCCGATACTACAAACCCCAAAAATTTAACTTGCCGTTGGAATAGTGAACATTTCTTCGGGCTCAACTTGAGGTTGGCACTCTGAATCTTCATGAGCACGCGTTCCAGGTTTTGAAGGTGTTCCTCAAACGTACGGCCTACGATGATGATGTCATCCAAGTAGACCAGACAGGCATCGCCAATTAGCCCGGTAAGTACAAGTTCCATCAGCCTTTCAAACGTTGGTGGAGCATTGCACAACCCAAACGGCATTACTTTAAATTGCCACAGACCCTTTCCCGTCGAGAACGCAGTTTTCTCCTTGTCCTTAGGGTCAATTTCAACTTGCCAGTAGCCACTTTTTAGATCCAGCGTGCTAAACCACTTTACTCCTGTAAGCATGTCCAGCGTGTCATCAATTCTTGGCAAGGGATAGCTGTCCTTCTTCGTAACGTCGTTCAGACGGCGGTAGTCAACACAAAACCGCATGCTGCCATCCTTCTTCTTCACCAGCACCACTGGTGAACACCATGGACTAGAGGAAGGTTCAATAACACCATCCTTCACCATTCCTTCAATCATGGTTTCCACTTCCTTTTCGCGTGCTACCGGCAATCTTCTTGGCCGCTGACGGATAGGCAATTCTTCTCCTGTGTTTATTTTGTGTTGAACTAAGCCAGTCTTTCCTATGTCAGCATCGTTTGATGAGAATACATCGGCGTACTTGAGTAACAACTTCTTCGCCTTGACCAATTCGTTCGGGGAGAGAACACTGCGACAGTCTTCCAAAAGTGTGGTCACTCTCGTTTCTGCATCCTTGCTGGGGGTCCCACTCGATATATATTGGCACCGACGTAACCAATCCACTTCCTCACAAGTACCAATCAGTGTGCCTTTTTCTATAATCTGTTCCCGGTCGCAAAGGTTCAGCACACGTACTCCTGAGATGTTAGTGGACCTGACCAAGGTTCGATCTACTTTCCATGGAAGGTCATTGTTTACCCTTTCCACAAGTACACAACGGTGAGCTTGCCCAGCGTTTCGAGGAAGACTAACCGGAACAATCGTTTCCGATCTCGGCGGAAGAACAATCTTCTTAAAGCTGTACACGTTCACCTGGTAACGCACCTTCCATAAAAAGTTCCTCCTGTCCACATTTCAAAACACCTTGCTTAACGTCGATCTCACAACAATTATTCCTCATAAAGTCTAGGCCTAGGATGCAGTCGTCCATTATATCAGCCACGATGACATTATGCAGGTAGATCACGTTGCCTAGCTTCAACTCCATCTCCTTCTCTCCACGGACGGGTATACGCTGACCGGTGGCTGTTACCAAATTAATGCGTTCTCGGTTGTATGCGGAGTCCCCAAGGAACTGACTTATAAGTTGGGAACTAACAACCGTACGAGAGGCTCCAGTGTCTATGGTCAGTTTACACGGCATTCCGTTGACCTCGCCCTTGATGATTAGACTGTTCCCATCATGGGTTTGTGAGATCGAGATCCTTGGGGCTCTTTTAACATCAGCCAGCACCCGCCCCGCAGTTCTGGCTTTTACTCGTTTCCCTGCTGCTGCAGGGCGGTGCTGTTGGCCGCACTACCCTCCTGAAGATCGTTCACCTTCCCTTTCTAGAGTTCGCTTAGGGCAGCTGGATCGAAGATGGCCCTTTTCCCCACAGCCATAGCACCTAGGGCTGTATCCTCTGTTGCGGTCGCGAACTGTAGCTGCTGCAACCTCCCTGATGCGATGGGAACGATGATCCTGCCGCACGGCTTCCACCTCCAGCGCAGGGGCCAAGGCGTTCTTAAGCGTGTCGTGGTGCCCGAGTCTCACAGCAGCTCTGACTTCAAGGTCGCGGATGCCGTCGATGAATGTCTGAACCAGGTTCCCTTCAATGAGTGCAGGTACAGACTGGTATGCTTTTCGAACCATCTTCTCCACCTCAAGGGCCCACTGCTGCAGGTTCTCGTTGCTGCGCTGCACGCGATCTTTAAGCTGCGCGCGAAAGACGTGTTCCAGATGAGCGTCGCCATATCTCGCTTCCAAGGCCTCAAGAAGCTGCTCATAGGTCACTTTCTTACCGAGAGCTTCCAACACAGTTAAGGCTTGGTCGCGCAGGCCAAGGGTGAGTGCAGTAATGGCTTGGCATTTATTCCAGCCGTTCGCCTCCATGACTGCCTCGAACTGGATTTTGTAGGCCGACCAGGAAGAGGTCCCGTCGAACGGCGGCACTTTGAATCCACGTAGCGAAGGTGCTGCAGCTACTACGGGAGCTGTAGTTCCATCCCCAAGTTTGAGGTCGTTTAGCGTTTTCTTCACGTCAGCCATCACGTTGTCAATCCGATTGTTCACATGGTTGATTCGGGTTTCATGTTCTTCGATTCGGGTTTCAGCTTCCGACAGGCGGTTGTCGTGTTGAGCAACCCTATCCTTCACGTCCCTTTGCTCTTTCCCAAAGGTAGCGTGAAGGTCCTCCATGAGGAGCATCTGCTCTTCCGACCGACGAGCCTGTTCCGCCTGCTGATCTTCCAACCGACGGGCCTGTTCCTCCTGTCGGCGGGCCTGTTCCTCTTGTCCGCTCTGCAGCTGCTCTTTCAACTGACGGACCTGTTCCTCCTGTCGGCGGACCTATTCCTCTTGTCCGCTCTGTAGCTGCTCTTTCAACTGACGGACCTGTTCCTCCTGTCGGCGAGCCTGCTCCTGCAGCATCACCATCAGAGCACCTAAGTCAGGTGCTGCAGATGTAGGAGCTACCGACGGGCCTGCAGCCGGTGGCTGGCCCTCCGACGTCTGCGGCGTTGCACAGTTGCAAATCTTCGTTGGTCCGTCTCCTGCTGGCGTTGACTTCGGGTACGGACACCCTCCGTTTCCTCCTTAAGTAAAATCGGCATTATTTTATCCCACTTCTGACACCAATTGTTACGAGCTTCGGGTTCGTGACAATAAAAATTGCCGATAAAATTACCTAAATTAACACTTTAATTTACTTTACACAAATTAAAACTTAAAACACTAATAATTAAACACACTAATTCACTTAATTCCGCTCCGAAGCTTTGCTTGTGTCGCCGAGTTCAACTCTGCCTCCTCGCATCTTGCAGCGCCTACTTATATAAATTAGCAAAATATCCAGAATGTTCAAGTAAACACGCGCAAGGTACCGAGAGTTCGAGTTTTAAACTTCAAGAAGTTTAGTTCTTCGGTTCGAGACTAGATGGCGCTAGTGCGCCGATTTGAGGCATTGGAGCGCGTAACAGTATATTATCTATGCGCGGGGATAAGTTTATCTTCTATTTTATCTCCTGTCGATATTATATCCACCATAGGCCCATGCTCGCAGGGTGGATAAAACTTTGGCAAATGGATGAGACAATTTTATCCCTTGTCAGTGGATATAATCGGGGGATAAAAATTTTGTCTCCTGCCCGTGCTAGCCCGGGAGATCATAATATTATGTTATTCGCTCTTATTATTTTTTTAGTTGTTTTTTTGTTGAATTAAAATTTTATTATGATGACGCCGAAACCATGCTCAACTTATTGACACGCACTCACGTACTCATCATTCTATCCTCAACAGTCTGTAAGAGTACACTACTGGACACACACATATATCTCTAAAACCAAGTTGTTGGTCCCAAATTATTTTAGATGCACGTGTGTGCGTAAGTGTCACTTGAAATGTGCTCAGCACTCCATCTTTCTTAGTTGGTCCGAGGTTACTGAATCTTTATATATTATACGAAACTGTAAAATTCCGTTTGTGTGAGTGTGTGCGCGTGCGCTGCGTGCGTGCGTGCGTGCGTGCGTACGTGCGTGCGTGCGCGCGCGCGTGTGTGTGTGTGTGTGTGTGTGTGTGTGTGTGTGTGTGCGTGCGTGCGTGCGTGCGTGCGTGCGTGCGTGCGTGCGTGCGTGCGTGCGTGCGTGTGTGTGTGTGTGTGTGTGTGTGTGTGTATGTGTGTGAGTGTGTAGTATGTGTGTGTGTGTGTGTGTGTGTGCGCGTGTGTGTGTGTGTGTGTGTGTGTGTGTGTGTATGTATGTATGTGTATGTGTGTATGTGTGTGTGTGCGCGTGCGTGCGTGTGTGTGTGTGTGTGTGTGTGTGTGTGTGTGTGTGTGTGTGTGTGTGCGTGCGTGCGTGCGTGCGTGTGTGTGTGTGTGTGTGCGTGCGTGCGTGCGTGCGTGTGTGTGTGTGTGTGTGCGTGCGTGCGTGCGTGCGTGCGTGCGTGCGTGCGTGCGTGCGTACGTGTGTGTGTGTGTGTGTTGTGTGTGTATGTGTATGTGTGTGAGTGCGTGCGTGCGTGCGTGCGTGCGTGCGTCTGGAAGGGATAATTACAAAAATACATTATATTATTGTATTAATTTTTAAATAATATAAAAAATCTTTAGAAGGAGTTTACCGATTTTTTATTTTTAAGATACTGGGAAATGATTGACGGCATTTTGGCCTAAGCGACCTAAACCGCATTTGACTTAACTGGGGAATTACAAATTGATGCAGCGCGGTAAAATCTTTGATGATCCGTAATAAAATTAGAAGGGTAAGCTGTGGTAACTTTTTATTACTTCACTTACTTCACGTATTAATTTTCAGCTTGTAACAAAGAAACGCAAACGTCGACGCAGACGGACAACACCCGCTCCGCAATTCGATGTGGACGACATTGAGGACACGCCGCTCCTCGATTTTAAACCCAGGTAATTAAATAACTTCGCCGTGTAGTGACGGCGTAAGACCATCCACTAGTCCATATCATCCCGTGTCACATTACTTATTACGTGGATATGTGAGAGGCGGCAGAGGAATTTCAATTCATTCATCAATTCATGCAATTCATTCAATTCATCATTCAATCAATTGCATTCTCCTGATAACAATTCAAAATAAAAAACAAAGTTTGGTTGACAACCGTCTGCCAAGTGTCACAACTATAGCTAATAAGTTGTTACGTGGTAGAGCAACGCTGCATCTATATTATAGAAGTAGCATGAATGGGTCGGCTCGACCGGGGTACGATCGCGCTCTCACAGAATACCAGCGTAAAATAGCAGCGTCATGCTGCTGTGTTTCGAATGGTGAGTATAGAGAACCGGAGACCCTTTTTACTGGAAACGAGGCATTCCATTTAGCCCTCAGGGGTGACAACGCATTTGCATTTCGATTCTTAATTGAGGATAAATGTGCATGTCTATGGGCCACAGCATCCTTACCATCAGGTGAACTGTGTGCTCGTTTGTCACCTAGGAGGCAATTTATGGGGAAGACCTATGTTTGGCTGTGGGCTTTGATAAGCTTTAATGAATGATGAATGTATAAAATAAGTTAGTATACACCTCTTGATGGACCTTCGCCCGTACTCATGTAAAAATATCACTATTGTAATAATTTAATAATCATTTGTATCGTTAAAAATTATGTCCTCGTACTTGATATTGATCTCAGCTATTTTTGAATATTTGTCGGAAGCCTCCAACTGCGTAGCAATATCTGCGACGCCACTTATGTACGAACTAAAGCAAAAGTATTCACTCCAAACCTTCCCGCGTTGAATATTAAAGTATTGAACACAGCAGGATGTATATAGGTTATTTACTCAATCCTAAATCAATGACTTGATCTATTACTTTTGCAATAATATCGGAGGAAGGCTGGGCTGCAGTTTCTAATACTCTGAATCTGGCACTCATACACAAAGAGATATTAACAAATAATAATAATAATATTTATTTGCTGAACTAAATACAGGAGTATTACAGTGCTTTACAAGACTCTCTATGTTCTACCAGAAGGCTTGCAAATTTACAATCTCAGCCAATTATATGATCAATTGTCAAATTAGAATAATTGTTATATTTTGAAGGTATGCCAGTAAAAGTTTATATAATAAATTAAATTGTATTATCAATATATAATCAATTTTGGTAGAATAATATACATGTCAAGGCTACTTCCAAATTCAATACAAAAATATTAAATTAAAAAAATACAAGGAGTAAAATATTTAAGGCAATACAACTTAAAATGTCAACTAAACTATGCATGTGAAAGGCTACTAGACTATACTATGTGTTGGATCTCCTTTCTAGATTGGTATCCGTGTACCAGTTTCTGCTACAAAACAGCAATGTATCTATTGCTGTTACCGCTGAAAAGGTTAGAAAACTAATATAATCAAAGGCTGTGAAGCATTTCATCTTGACTAAAATGAAATGTCTCTCTGCTACCAAATAGCATTGCTTGCATTGCTGTGTTCCTGTCTAAAAGGTATTGTCGTGTTGCAACCATGATATATCACTAATTTATTTTTGTATTTCACAGGGCAACCCTGCAGCAGTGGGAAGATGATTCTGAAAAGGACGATAAAGCAGTATCAGCAGAGGATAAGGATGGCTCCTTGATGATAAGCGTGGAAAGTGAACATCACACGTCGTCTGGTAAGTGTTCACAATGTAAAGATAAGATGCAGATAAAATTAACTATTTAGTTTTACGGATAAACTTTTAAATTTTTTTATTTAAACTTAGTAATGTAACACCCTAAAGTATAATTCAGTCTATTTACGTCCTCAATTCTAAAGCTCCGTACTCACATTCGATGTTACTCGATAGTTTTACTCTAAAAAGAGTAAAAATCAACACGTGGACCACAAAACACAACTCGCAGGAGGCTCGTTTTTTAATTAAATAAATGTAATTTCTTTCGGACCTACTCGAAGCGAATCGTCGAGTTTGACTCGGGCGTATTGTACGTGTCGGAACGAGTCGAGCGTGTTTATTCAGAAATGAATTTAAGAATTTATGCCAAAGGCGTTATCGAGGAATTTATAAACTTATATAAACATTGCAATTGTTTATGGTATGTCAAGTCAAAAAATTACTTATATTTTGCTAAATGCAGCCACTGTGTCCTTTCTTGAACAGACATTTTTTGGCTCGAATTGTTCGGTGAATACTGAACGTCGCGCGTCGCTCGACGTAAATGCTCGATCGAGTAAAACCGTATGGGAGTATGGAGCATAGGAGGGCTTACGAGTAGGATCGCACAAACTTTTTCGAAAACATTTTAATTTCTCAGTCAAGTAGATGTCGCCAGTGTGGTTTAGCTTGTGTACTATTAAGCGATTCGCTGCCACGTGTAATACATATAGTTGTTATTTATTTGGCTTACAACGTATGCTAAGCTCTTAAATTTAAAATCCCATATTAGCGAGTTTTCATCATAATGAAAATATTATTTTTCTTTTACTTGAAAGCATAGTTTTAAAACAGACTGTCTGAGCAGTGTTTGACTAAGATATATTTGACTTCGATAGCCTATCTGTCAATCTGGTATATTATTAGTACAGTAGGGGAGGCAAAAGTCCAGCGGTAGAGAGAAAATGTACAAATAGATCTTAGAATATTGTATTTTTTCATAACTTAAGTATACCTTACAATACAAATAACTCGAAAATTAGTTTTTTTTACAATATGATATTTGGATGAAACAAATAAAATATAATATTATCTCATCATCATCAGTGCTTCTACTTTCGAATCATTTAATTATTGCAAAGTTAAGTCGTAGATTGTTACTAATGAAGAATTGTTGAAAAATTAAAAAACATCCACTGTCTTATTTATTAGGGTCGTCACAATCGCACGGTGGTCCTACAGTGCTGATCCAGAGGTTGCAACGTGCGCGCCCGCACTCACACACACACGAACAAACTAATGCACGTTCAAAAGAATATTCTTCGCACGTGAGTAGTTTTTTTTTTATTTTATTTTAAATGGAATCTCCTATGTTACTACACACGGCGTAATACAAATTATGGTAAATCGATTATTAACATTATCATCATAAAAGCCTAACAAAGTCCGCTATTGAATAAAAGCCTCCCATTAGGTTGCCTCATAAGTTGTGATCGGATAATCGGATGCATATTTACCTAAAGTGTAGGTGTTGGCTATTATGGAATGCACTTCACTTTTGTATCGAAAAAATCCCGGGATTTCGGAATCGACATATTTAGTTATTTTTTACTATATAATTAAATTGGGTGCAGGTATATTTACTTATTTTAACTTTTATATAGGTATATAAAAAAGTAGAAATAATAACTTCCTTAAATTATTTTTAATTGACAACCACTATCTACTATTCCTCTTACACTCAATAAATTGATTGGGAGCTTAAAATTAGCTTCAAGTAAATACACAATAATAATTATGTAATCATCCTGTTTTTTTTTTAAACAAATACCATATGCTACGAAGACAACGTTTTCTCATCATGATACAGACTACTTTCGCGTTCCCGTATCTTCTGAAATTCCGGGATTTATATTTTTAAAAAAATATGTTTTAAGAAGCCGCTTCCATAATTTCCTAGCCAAAAATGAACTTTAGGTAAATATGCATCCGATGATAGTTGCCGCGCTTGGGTGTTGTAGGGGGGTATGGGTTGGCAACTGCAGTATTTTTTGTTTTTTAATTATTATGAGACCTGTCTCACGTCAGCCACGTAATAATATTCATTAATTGATTACAGCCTATTAAAGATCAAATGCTGATCATAGGCCTCCGTATAGATTGCATCACAGGAGGGTTGTTTGCCATAGTTGCCACGCTTGTAGGCATCTGCAGCTTTTTTCTAGTTGTTATTAGGCAAACGCTGTTGCCCACTCTTGGTTTGTTCCTAGCTTCCACCTTATACGAAACCCACGGGATAATATGGGATAGTGAATATATCCTTACACCGTCACTAAACAGTCAATAAAAAATACCTTATTACTGCCTTTTTAATACTTCCCTTTTGTGTAGTTCTGTTCGGCTCGAATTTAATTTTAAGCTTGCCGATGAACTAGAGATTTGAAATGTTGAACATAGCTCCGAATCTGAAGACAATGTAAGAAGAATAAAAAGAAGAAGGAAACGTGGTAAATTAATTTTTTTAACATCGTAACACTTGTTTTTAATAATATAACAGTAAAAAAAACCGTTATTACAAAGCTGCAAAATTTGTTTTCATAGAAATCGGTGGCCGCTAAACCACGCCCACACAGTCGTAACATCGACAAGTCGCCGGTGAAGGTGGTGATGAAGAGCAACCTCACGTTTAATCTTGACGATGGGTTCTTCAATTGGAGGCGGAACGCCAAAGATGTTTCGTGAGTAATTTAACAGAGACTTAGCTCAAATCTAAGCTCTAATCTAAAAAAACCAATAAATTTTCAACAATATCCAAAAAGGTGAATAATAATTTTTTTACCGATTCCAGGATGGATGAAAATTAACAATAACTAGTTGTCGTTTTGTAATCTAAATTCGACATTAATTCATTAAATTCTTATGTTTGTATATTAAGCAAGCTGTATTTCACTTTTCAACTACACATTTAAAAACGTCTATTCAAATATGCACAAAATAAAAATCTACACTATCGATCTAGAATGGCGTAATATTGACGCACTCCACAATGTCCTGTTTGTGTGCGTGACAGCTTGAGCGCTAAGCAACTAGCACGTATCACTTTGAAACTATTCATTTTTATAATTAAGTTTTATGTGTTATAATTAATATGATATCGCGTGTCATACGTACAAAAACGTACAGTCGAATCAAGATCATCCTTTTTCTTTGAAGTCTGCTAAAAACCGACCTTACTGCTAAGTCATAAAGGCGTTATCAATGTGAAATTGTCACCATGGATGTGCTGCCCCAATGTGTTTTGGTGGATTTTACATATCTTAGATTCATTTCATGAAGATTCTCCCACGAAGTTTTCCTTCACCGCCGAGCACGATGTAAATCAGCGCTTACAATTGCAACTAACAATTTCATTAGTGCCGGCGGGTATCGAACCCGGTTTGCCCCCGTATACGGTGAGCGCTTAGCCTTTATTAGCGCTGATTAACAACTTCTCTGTCCGCAAAAAAAATTACAATTGAAATGTTCATATATGACTCTTAAGACAGTGAATCGTTAAAAAGGGATACAAAAGTTTTCCTTCGCGTATTAACATAATGTCCTTCAGACCGATTTCGATCACGGTGGCCAGTTTGAGCAGAGACTAGGCATCTGCGTAGGACAGGGTTTAGTGCACGTATGTGCGGAAGCACGGGTGCACTCTCTATTACTTCACTCTCTCAGTCCATGGGAATGGCAATCTGACACGACTGTACTTGTTTACGGAAGCTTTATATGTTTTGGCTGCCACTAAATGGCAATATAACTGTTTCGCTTACACCGATATCTGGCACTGTGATTGTCAGTTCGCTTATCAAGCGTGAGGATTGAGACAAATCATGTCGATGTCGAAACCATGGCGATATGTGAAATTTAACTTTTTTTTATATAATACTGGTGACGAGCACACAGTTCACCTGATGGTAAGTAAATGCTATGGCCTATAAAAATCTTAATCTATCCTCGATTACGAATCGAAATGCACATACGTTGTCACCCCTAAGATGGAATGCTACGTTTCCAGTAAAATTGCCGCTTCACTACACTTACGATACTAAACACTGCAGCATTAAGCTGCGTTTTTCACGCTGGTATTATGTGAGAGCTCGGTCCTTAACCGGTCGAGCCGACAACTTCGTGCTACAAACATAATATAGTTGCAGCACAGCTCTACCGCCTATATGGATACGGGATGAATTTCTAATTTATGCTAATAATTTACAGGAATTTACTCAACGAGCTAGGAATAAAACTGACCACATCGCGTATCGTGCCGCCTATTCAAACCTGGAGGAAACCTGTACGAGTTGGTAGTGAATTGCCAATGACTGGCAACGTAATATCCCAGCCGTCAGCAACGAATGACGCGGAAGACAATGAGTCCTCAGGCACATATGAGAGTGCCAGCAAGGAGACTTAAGTTATTGTTGAGTTTAAATTAACCAATGAATGTACCATTGAATACTGCATAATTTAATAAGTGTAATAAATGTTAATAGTGAGTCGACTTCATTGTCAGGGCGCAAAATTCCTACAATTCTTTATCATCCTTACAGCCCTTCACAAGTCCACTGCTGAACATAGGCCTCCCCCAAGGAATGCCACAAAGCACGGTCCTGAGCCACCTGCATCCATCGACTTCCTGCATGTCTTACCAGGTCGTCACTTCATCTAGTGGCGGGTCGCCCTACACTACGCCTAGCGGTACGAGAATGCCACTCGAGAACCTTTTTTCCCCATCGGTTGTCGGTTCTTCGAGCTATATGGCCGGCCCATTGTCCCTAAATATATGCAAGGTTCGTCATAAAATACAGTTTACAAAATCATATTACTAAAACTTCAATGTTGTATTCCTTACAATATATAATTTCGTAATTGTTAGTTGCGCCTCGCGGCTTTGCCCGATTGCTCACATTATTAAGAAAGGATATCTAAAGTTTTGCATTAAAATTGTAGGTATTCACCGTTCCTGTCAGGCGGTCGAGTCCCTCACTATTGTTGTTTATATCAAAGTATTTCTTCTTAGAATAACATTATTTTGCATAATAACGTTTTTAAATTTCGTAGAATTTGTTTCGTCCACAGCTGACACATAAAGAGTTTACCACTTAATGTCCTTCCAATCTGATAAATATTGCATGACAATTATCAAAATTTTAACGGTAACAATTACGACTATATTAACCTCCTCTTAGACCAGCAGTGCAATTGGGTAACATTGGTGGGAATAATTCCGCAATTTTGTTATGGTTTTTCATTATATTAACCTAAAAATAAGATATTAAAAAAAGATATCCGCTTATATTTGATACTGAAACATTTATATTTAACAAACTTAAAAATGAGCACTACACAATTGCACTACTGCTTCTTTACTACTTAACGTAATAAGCATAATTTTTGTCAACGGAAAGTCACTTTCTATGGGAAAAAATAACGAGAATTTAATTTTAAAACGTATTTATCCTGCATTTTAGCAACAATATACATACATAATTTTATAAGACTGAATATCCGTCCAATTTACAATTTACGACATGTAGGTTTCATAAATTTTACCTTGAAGACTTCATTAATGACATTAATTAATGCATAAAAGATATTTTAAATTGCATTTTATTATTTAGAAAGTGTTGAATTTTTATAATTATAATGTAGTTATTATTTTAATGAAACAAGAATTATCGACAACATTGTGTTCTTATGTAAATAATAGTTGTAACTGTTTTATTTCATTAAGAGTTTATTGTTTTATTTAATTTGCTAAAGAGTAAAGATGAAGAATATACGTTATAGTGCATTGATGGAATATCAATCCGTTAACTGCCGTGTCAGTCACTACGTACGGAGTAGCATTCAAAACATGACTGACAGCAGTTTAAGTGTTTAATTATTTCTGTCGCAAAAAATGAATCAACAGAAGAAAAAACGGTAAAAAGCGAGCCATAAACTTAACACATCGAACCTTAGAAAGAGACAACTAATACATTAGATACTAGACTGTTAGACAGTATTTCAATGACAGAGATGACGCTCTACAAAGACGTTTAGACATCTCTTTCTAAATCTTAATGTTTATTAGTAAGCCGGATAGTATAAATCTAGGTTTCATTTACATGCATGTTGTTTTGACATTTCTTAGAAACATTGTAAAGATAGGTATTTATATATATTTTAACTCAAACTTATTTTTACTCTTTGATGAATTAGTTCTTTTAGTATTTCTTAGTTATACGATTCCGTCTTGGGAAGTCGTAAAGGTGCTCAATATCACAATATCCTAAGTGTACTTGTCTAGACCTATTTTAGCAATAAGAATTGTATTTTATTTGTAATTGTAGATAAAATAGTCAATATGTTTTAAAAATATATTGGCTACTAAATCAAATTGCTTTTATAATGAAATGTCTAGGCTATAAGTTGTATATAGCATATTTTCACAAATATATTAAAAATCTTATGAATAAAGACCATGTGATTTCATTTCATATAGCTTAGAAGTTTTCATATTATGTAATATATAGATCGTGGTACTCTTCACATTTTAAGATTTTTTTAAGACAACTGATAGGTTTTTTAAAGAAAATACTGAACACATGTTAAGTCCACCAACTTACACTTAACAACATGCCTACAATGGATACTCCAAAAACAAACCAAATTCTGTATGTTTGGATACCGTAGACCTCGGCTTCAAAGTGTTACGTACAAGGTCTTAACCCATTATAACCTAGCGGTGCGTTTCGCTCCCAATTCTAGTCCTTGATATTTTCGCGCCATGCGCGCCTCATATATGAATGCAATGCTAAGGCAACGTATCTAACAGTTTTAATACTTTAATCTCAACTAATTCGTGTTGTGAATATTGGAAAAAAATTAATTTACCTTTTAAGTAAGTATGTTTAAATTTATTAATTTTATGTAATATATCATTGAAATGCATTTTTTCTTTATATACTAGGTGACTATTTTTACCGTCTGGAAGAAAATATGGTGTTCTGTGTGAGTGGAATTGAAGCTACCCTCGAAAGTATTTGTAAAATATAACAAAATAATAACTAGGTAGCAAGACTTCCGAATATCCAAAAAATACATAAAAACAATTCATCTTACGGCGTTTGCGTATAATGTCAATAAAAGCGTTAAGTGTAAGTAGACCTCCCAATACTAGTTACTCCCTACTAATGCGAGATCAGCATATAGTAGTTATTACATATCAAGAACGTATCATTAATAGATACTTGATCGATAAAAGAAAGATTTAAAATAGCAGCACTTCTCATTGCCACTCTTTTATTAATAATGCCGTCGCGTGTCGAAGATCGAAATAAACTTATTTACAAACTACACCGATTGATATTTACAAAATTATACTACATTATTGTTATTTACAAATAAAAATTACCTTTTTACCGATATCTCAGTAACTGTTCAAAATGTCTACCGTTTTCTTCTAAACACAAACTAGCACGTCTTTGTAAATTATTTGTTAAACTTCAAGCGTGTCCCTATCACTTTTATCACATTAAATGCGTCTATTATACGCGGCTTTAAATCACTAACACTTTGTGCATCTTCTGTTTATACTAATCGTTTTAGTTTGGCCCACAAATAAAAGTCTAGAGGTAGGTTTGGTGATCTTGCCAGCCAGTTCACAGGTCAGCCGCGACTTATATGATCAGAGATCGTTCGTCAAGCTGGACATCATCATGCTGGAAGTACATTCCTTGCAGATGGCTCAGAGGAACGTTTTCCAACATTGTGTGGATGACGGAACGTATCATTTGCAGATACGTTACTTCCTTACCTTCTACTACTCTTCTTCCTCCTTCTTTCCTGACCTTCAATCTGTATATATAGGACCAATGACGTGGTCGTAAATGATTGCCGCCCAAACGTTAACACTGAAACGAACTTGATGAGCATGTTCTTTGATTTTGTGTGAGTTTTGGAAACTCCACCAGCGCTCAAGCGTGCACAACGTTGTAAATTCCAACACGGGTAAATATCAGTCGGTCGCACCAAGTTTTCACCAGACAAGACATAAAATCTCGTTATTGTTAGATATTCGACATTAGAGTATTGATATATGTTTACGATACACATGCGGAAACAGACAATACGACGGCGACGTGACGTCACGCCACAGGCTAGCAGTGGCGTGACGTCACGTCACCGTCATATTGTTATCGGCATGTTCTAAGCTCCTAAAATAATTCAGGTTATAATGGTTTAAGTCAGTGTTCCACAAACTTTTTTGTGTCATAGACCCCTTGCCATGTTTTTCCGTGTTGGGTAGACCCCCTACTTACCTGATATTGATTTCCTGTAAATTTCTAATTTTTAACTGTTGTGAAGTTTAGTGTTAAAAACTTAAAGTAAAAACACATGTTAATTTATACATTTATTAATTGAATTTAAATTAAAACTACTCAAAATAAAATTTTGTATTTGTTATGTAAAATAAACGTAGCATTAAATAAACTATAAATAAAAAAACATAAGCAATAAATCAATATTTTTAGTGAGAAGGATGAACCTGATGCATTAATAATAAATTATCAACATTTGGCGTCAATTTTGTAAGGGTAATCTTAAATCTCCTCGGCTAATGATGTCCAGTCTCTTTAGTCCAGTCTGTAGGAGATTGGTAACAGCGCTGAACCCCCTTTCCACTAGGTATGACGATGGAAAGGAAATTAAAAATTTCCTCGCTATATTCCATAATACGGGATAAGTAACGGGTATGTTGTTTTGCAGCCAGAATTGCTGATATCCGTTTTTAAACTGAACCTTAAGTTCTTCGTTTGTACTTAGTTCAGTCAGTTCCTCTTGTATTATGACATTCGTTTCTTCTATGTCACCATATGGATTAATTATCCACGGTGATATTACCATAGTCAAAATATCCTCAAACCTAGATTCAAAATCTGAATAGAGGGCATTTAAATGTTGAACGTAAGTTGAAACGTCATCTTCCTGGTAGCTTGTCTGTGACAAATTGAGGAACTGAGAAAATTCGCCCCGTCCAATATTTTGCTTCATTAGTTTAACTCTGGCAAGAAACGCTGATAAGATGGACTTTGTTTTAATCAAATTTAAACTGTCGCCTTGTAATTGCAAATTAACCATATTAAATTTTGTAAACAAATCTGTTAAATAGGCGATGCTGTTTTTAAAATTTTATCTTTAGTATCCAGAAATTCTAAAATAGTCTCAAAAAGTGCAAAAAATCTTGTCAAACATAAGCCTTTCGACAGCCAGCGTACTTCAGTGTGAAGGAGTAATTGATGAAAGTGTTCGTCATTTTCTTCACACAACTGCGCAAATAACCGCGTATTCAACGCGTTGCTTCGGATTCGGTTTACTGCATCAATGACTAAATGAAGTGATTCATGCAATCTAACACTCAAATTTTTAGCAACTAAATGTTGTCGATGGATGACGCAATGTATTGCTAACACCCCTGACACATTTTGTTTTAAATAGCTTATAAATCCACGATAACGTCCAACCATCGCAGGTGCTCCATCTGTAGCTACTGATATTATATTTGATAAAGGAATTGCTTTTTCAATGAAGTAATCCTTTAAAACATGAAATATTCATTCACCTTTAGTGTCGGTTATCAAAGTTCTTACGAAGAGCAGTTCTTCGTAGATTTCTTGATTGATAATAAAACGAACATATGCCAATAATAATGCTGCATTATCAGGTAAAGTTGACTCGTCCAGTTGTATAGAGAAATGGGTCGTTTGCAAATAATTACATAAGAAGCTTTCAATATCAGAACTCATTTCATCAATACGTCTTTCAACAGTATTGTTGCTTAAGGGAATTCTTTTAATGATATCTGATGCAGGTTTGTGTAAAACAGTTTTTAAAACCTCTTCAACGGCTGGCAAAATTAACTTCTCTCCGATAGTATGCGGTTTTCCGGATTTTGCTATGAGTAACGAGATATTGTAAGACGCCCGCAAACCATCATCATTTCTTTGTGACGTCGAAGCGGACATTCTGTCCAGTGTAGGTCTCTTCTGAAGTTTATCTTTGAGTGTTTGAAAGTATTTCAAATCTTTCTCTATGTGTGTTTCTGATGATCTTGCAGTTTAGATGGTTTCATAGCGTCATTGACCAAAACTTTGTTGCATAAAAGGCACATAGGCAATTGTTTGTCCGGCAATGATGGAATGAAGCCAAATTTCAAATAATCGACACTGTACTGTCTACATTTCTTCTTAGATTCGGACATGGCATCAGTCATCTGTGGGCAAAATTAAATTATTTAAATAAGACAGAAAATCCAGAAGCTGTATATTAAAAATATTTTTTAATTTTTCCGAAAACATTCCATAATTCGAACATCTTCTTGCAACAATTAGCTCGAATTACGGAGATTGCACTGTAATTATAATACCGATTACTAAAACTTTCAAAAATTAACTATTGAGGAGTACTCGTGTAATTTTGCACGATTGAATATTAAACTACTAATAACTAAAGTCATGATTGCCGTAATTTATCTATCTTTGCTAACTACGAGTACAAAACTAAAATTTAATAAAAAATAATGCACTTACTTTTCTCCAGCACTCTCAAACAAAATAACACTGACTCATTATAATTTGTGTGATATACTATCTGTTTATATTTTTTAAATAATTTTCTTAGCACTTTCCTTTTCGAGATTCAGGAAACGAATAAACGTATTTGACCCACATTCGTATTTATAGAGTGACGAATTGAACAAATCAGTGCAAGGTAGCGAAGCTCTGAGACTGCGACTCTCAGGTTTTTACAAGTTCAAAATGTATTGCGACCACAAAGCGAATACCAACATCCTACAACTTACACAGTTTTATAAACATATATAATACATTTTTTACTTCATAGGTACTTTTATAATAATGTATATGTGAATGATATTATAAGATAGTATGATGTAAGTAAATAGGTACTATCAGTGTATGTGTTGAGATCCACTATCGTGGACCCCCATTTCATTTCATGGACCCCCAAATTTGTTTTCGCTGACGTAGACCCCTTGCAGGTTGTCATAGACCCCTAGGGGTCGATACAGACCACTTTGGGAATCACTGGTTTAAGTAAACATTTTTTTTAAATATGAATGAGGAAGATACAAAATGTGTATTTAAATAATATAATTACTATATTATTTAAATACACATTTTGTATCAAAAAAATAATCACATTATATAGTGATATTTGTCTTATTATAGCCAGTTTTTTTATATATATTGAACAATCTCCAACAAAACAATATCGGATGCATTTACTGCCTATCTCAATTTTAATGTAGAAGAGTAGAAAAACCCTATTGTAATAAAATACCTACATATTTTATTTCTATAGGATTGTTTTTTTACACGAACGCATTTTACATCCATAAATTGCACATGGGTAAACATCCAGAATTTCCATACCCAAAAAGATTATTTGTGAAACTACATCATCATTCCGATTAAGGAATGTTATTTTTGCCGCCCAGTTCAAAAATTAAAAGGATCTATCTATACGGGGTTTAAAATATGATAACCAATTTTACGGCTATTTTTTCATTATTATTTACTCTTTCGGTAAAATCCAATACTCGTTCTTTACCTGATATAATATTTTTAAAGAAATATGTGTTTTGCTGCGTTAACTGCTTTTGAAATGGAACCAGGGATGAAATCCAGAGATTCGAGTAGTATATGTTAATTCTAATGTATATGAAGAATGTATTCATTAGAAATAAATCTTTGATTAAAATGTATAATAGTTTATTCATAATATATCGTTAACTATCTTTTACAAGACTGTGCGGAACCATACCTGAAGGTGACTGGCGCTGGAGGAACTCCACGTGGATTTAAGGATGAAGCATGACGGTTAAAGTGCTAATAAATGTATTTTTTAAATAAAAAAAATATTTGTGTATTTTATGATTTAATGAGATCGTTTGAAAAAAAAATACAAAAATTACATGCTAAACAGAAATGGAAAGGTGTTATTCACAATCACATAATAGGAATATAAAATTTTAACCAAAATATCAAATATCAGCATTAAGTTTCTTGCACGTTTAGATCTATTCAACCAATAAAGATGTTAATATTAACATTTACTAAATTCGTTTATTTACTTAATGTATCTCAGAAATACAAATTTCAAGAAATATAATTTTAAATAATTTAATCTTTTTGGTAAATCGTACGCCTTAGGACAATTTTTTTTTCATATTTTACATCTAAAAAAGTCTTAGAATTATCACATTTCTTAGTATCTGATAAATGATGTTTTTTAACGTACTGGAATTTATACATTTAAATACTTATTTTAATATATTATAATCTGTAAATAGATCAAAAACTATAGTAACATATAATACTATTCTTTGGGTTTATAATTTGTACCATGAGGATTATTTAGTTAGGATTCAGAATGCTCTACCTCCACATACTACTATTAGGTAAACTCGTAAAAGTTAGATATACATTGTGTAATCGAAAGTAGTCATAATAATAACTTTCATGTTTTTAATTAACAAGATGTTTATTAACAAAACTTCTTGTTAATTAAAAACATGAAAGTTTTTAATTTTTCACAATCAATCCATTTTCTTATAAATTAATAAGTTTTGAATTAAGAATATAAGTTACATTGCAAGGGAAACTGCTTTTTAGCATGTTAGCAATTTTCTCCAGAGACAATCTGTTTACAAATATATTTAGTGTTGGGGCATTATAAAACTTTAACATATATTTTTTTCAAATATTAAATATTTGATATTCGAATGATTAAAATTTAAAGTATTACTTAATGTTCATGCAACTCTATACAACTAAAAACTGTAAAATAATAATAGAGAAATATATAGGCACGCAAACAGCATTACTAGCCATTGATGTATTTTTGAGGGGTAAAAATGGAGCTCGTTTTGCGTAAATCGGACCAAAAATTAATATTAAAAAACTGAAGGTAGCCGGACTAACTATGACATTGGGACGTCAAACATCTCAGTCCCCCCCGTGACCATGGGCGCTGTAAAGCACCCGAAACGTCGGGATAATAATAAAAATAAATTAAAGTAATTAAACGCGATAAAATCCGTAAATAATAGTTTTATTCAATGTGTAGTGTTCGCGTAAATTTAAGAAATCATTATGGGTAAAAATGGAGTTAACCATCTATTTTGGTCCGATTATTTTCTATTTAGTTTATCCACCGTTAAAGCACGTAGAGCTGTCTAAACGTTAATTCTAAGCATCTTATTACTGGGCGAACTCGAACAGTGCGAACTGAGAACTTGCCCTTCGAATTATTACTTATTATATCACTATAATTTCATGTTTGAAAATAATGTAATTGTTTGCAATCATATATAAGGTTGGTAATTAATATCATATAACAGGCAATATAAAAATTAGCTTTTTTTGGTTATACACATTGTATAACTGAAAAACTAATATATGCTATTTATTTTATTGTATAATTTTTATATCAACAACAATAATCAACATGTTTATACTACATAGTACATTATAACAGCATCTATAATCTAAATGGTCTTCCCCTTTCTATCCCTATAATTCTTTTGCGGCTATCGTTCCCCGGGACAGCTGGTACCTTTCCTCTGCCTCTTCCCAATACTTGTAAGCCTGCATTTTTATGCGATCCTGCTACAAATGTGTCTTCAATTGTCTTAGTGAAGGTCTTTCCGCGGTGCAATGCATTACAAGCCGTGCAATAAGGGGGCGTAGGGCTGATATCGCGTGTGGGGTATTCGTCGTAGCTGCTGAAATTTGTCGCGGCGCGTGGTGTTATCACAGGGCGATCCGTTGTTCGGTCCGTCAATGATAGAAATGAGCGTATGCGCTGGAACAAAATAAACTGCGGTTGGATAATGACCTTAACTCCTAGTGAAATATTGGTATTTTTATATCGAATGAATTAAAATACTTAAAATTTATGAAAAAAAGCGAATCTGCTCGGCTTATTCGTAAATTAGAGCGATATGTTGCTCCATACAAATTCGTTGATTAATATAATGTATTAGATTTTTGTAACATGGACGGCAAAGGACCAGAAAATTTAAAATGTTTTTAACCAGTCATAGGATAGACACATTTTAATTTAAAAAAATCTACGTCATGTGCGGTCCGCCAACACGCATTGAGATAGCACGGAAGACACTTTTTGACCTCAAATCATCTCAGAAATGAGAGGAGGCCTGTGCCCAGCAGTGGGATATAAAATATTGGCTGCAACTTAAAAATCTAAACAGTTCACCTGTTGGTAAGTGACACCAACAACCCATTGACATCGCAGCTAACTTCAAACAAAGGCAATCATTAATACCTTACTACCCCTGAGGGCTCAGAATGCAACCTACTCTGTAATTGTACTGGCTCTCATACCCTCCAAAATGGAAAATAGTAAATTTTGAGAAAAGAGAGTTGGTAAAAGAGTAAAAAGCAGGTGAAGAGGTGTTTTTCAAAAAAAAATTAAACTGATGTGTCAAACAAACTCACAGACCACCTGATAGTAAGTGGTGACTGCAGCCCATGGACACATGCAGTTAACTTACAACAAAGAAGAAGAAAGATGTGTTATATTCTGTTAGGACTAAGAGTTTTTTTATAGATTTTTTATGTGGGGCAAACGAGCATACGGCTCACCTGATGGTAAGTGATTACCGCCGCCCATGAGCAACTGCAACACCAGGGGAATTGTAGATGCGTTGCCGGCCTTTAAAAAAGGAGTAGGCTCTTTTCTTGAAGGTTTCTAAATCGTATCGGTCCGGAAAAATGTCTGGTGGTAGTCGATTTCACAAGAAAGTTGTGCGAGGTAGAAAACTTCTTCTAAATCGCACAGTGGTCGACCGCCAGTCATCCATATGGTATGGTTGGTATAGCGAGTTTTGTCGCGATGTGCGATGGTGAAAATTGGAATGCCTCACGGCCTTTTTTTATAGTATAAGGGTGACAAACGAGCACACAGTCCACCTGATGGTAAGTGGATGGCCCACAGACATCCACATTTATCCTCGATTAAGATTCAAAACGCAGATGCGTTATCACCCTTGAGGACTAAGATGTAATACCTCGTTTCCAGTAAAAAAGGGTCTCCGGATCTCTACACTCACCATACGAAACACAGCAGTATTAAGCTGCTATTTTACGCTGGTATTCTGTGAGAGCGTGGTCCTTCCCCGGTCGAACCGACCCATTTGTGCTACAATCATAATATAGCTGCAGTGTATCTCTACCACGTATAATAAAATAGTAAATAAATAAGCCTACTAAGTAAATAAGCCTTTAATTACACGGACTCTTTGTACCCTTCTAACCAGAACACAGGAGTGCAAACTACGTTTGGCTGCGGACATAGGTATGAGAGTGGTAGCTACCCAGCTACCCAGATAGACTCCCAGACAGAAATGAACTCCTACCACCTAGAAAGGTGTCCTCTCCCCTCTGTCCCCGTAGCCATGGCAGAGTCGTTGAAGTAGAGGGCCCTACTTGATGTTTTAGACACAGAGTAGAATGTAAACCTTATACCTTCCGCTGACTCTCCTCTCGCAGCAGACGCCGCAAAACTTGAGCGTGAATCTGTACCGCCGCCCTCAGTTGTGCGGACGACATACGCGTCAGCGTATTCTCGTCTAGTTCCACATCGCTTAAAACTGTTGAATTAAAATTAAACTTCAGTGCACACGTATTTTAACGTAAAAAACGTCACCTCATTTTGTTCTGTAGATTTCGTAATCGTCGAGTAATACCAGGTCCTTGCCTAAATATTATATAGCATACACTATTTTCCCCACTAATATGCACATTGTATTCAAAAGATGGCGTCACTACTGACATTTATCATTTATACCGATGTCTAAATCACACCATTAAAGTTTTAAAATACTGCGGTATATATATAAAATAATTCTAAACATTATCGTACTGATTCAAACCATGGGTTCTTAAAAGAAGCTATATGATAATTTATATAACGTTTAGAAGCTATATGATAATTTATATAACGCGTAAACGTTTTTCTATTAATAATATATCCTTTTTAATTTATTAAAATGTACGATATACGTGAATATTACTAAAGCAAGTTGATAGCGCCCTCTTGTATATTTTTCGGTAATTTATAATACCAACGCCATCTATGACAGCGCAGAAGAAACTTCTCTTGTTTCATTACCTAGTAATTTGTCAGAGTAGCTCATGTATGCCTTATATAGTATATTATCTATGGTTACTGTTACTGCGGTGCTAACTCGCTTGCCAAGCGCGGCAACTATGGCTAATATTCCCTTTACAAACAATCTATGGAGAGGTCTATGTTAAACAGGGGACTTTCATAGGCTGTAATGGATGGATGATATAAAAGACGTTATACCGCCCCGCCATCTATTTGCCCACAAGATTTTTCTGGCCCTTCCCATAGTCACCGCTAAAGATGGTGGCACAGGACAAAATGGAGTGATGGGTCTCTTTCAGGGGGGGGGGTACATGCTGGAACCACATTGTATGTTTGTGTAGTGTTGTGCGAAATAGACGCTTTCATTTATACATTCCGTAACCCGGTGGACATATTTAATTTGGTTTGGTGTTGTATTTTGCGGAATAAACGTTTTTACATCGTGTATGTAAAATATATATATATATATATATATATATATATATATATATATATATATATATATATATATATATATATATATATATATATATATATAAAAAAATAAATGTTAATATTACTATCTATAATACGCCTTAATTTAACCTAATCCCTTAAAATATAAATTAACAGAAACCGAACCTACATACAACGTAATTGAATTAGTTCAAGGGAATGATACAGACGGCGACACTATTCATATTGGGTGACAAAAAATCCAATGGCTCTCTATTTCTGTATATATTACTCTACTCTATGGTCTCTTTACTCCAGACTTAAAATACGCAGACCACCCATGGGAAATTAAAAAATCGTATTAGCAATGCGATTGCCAATTCAACAGCAAAAATTTTGGCATATAATGACTTACTTTGAAATTGTTACAATTTGGTAGTCTTACACTACTAGTTTGACTATGACAATACTCACCATTTGGAAAACTTAACTCGACCTCCGAGGAGTGTGGAGCGATGTCAGCACCACGCATAAACTCACCCCAACTGTCGAGTGATAGTTCGCTTTTAGGGTCCCACTCGTCCTCAGCATAGGAATAGGCCTAAAAACAAAGTTACACTGATTTCTTACATTCACGCAAACACTACACATTTTAATCAAAGTTAAACTGATTTTTTACACTGAGATATGTTTTGGGGTACTTTGGTGAGGGGTTAGCCAGGCATAGGAGGTATTTTGGTTCAGACCTAAAACACTGGCACAGTAACAACTGACAACACATCCGAATGCGAACATATAATAACAACATATAAAGTGGCATAGTAAAGGAATTCATTATATCAGGACATGATGTAACTCTTAAACTAAAGCAATTCAACGTTAATAAAGGAGCAGGACTAGAGCAAATATCTCCTAAATTCCTCAAAAAATGCTCTACTGAACTATGTGTACAATTGTCAATTCTCTTTAACTAGTCTTTAAGAGCATGGTGGTTTCCATCAGCACAAATCAGAAGATTATTCGTTATGTGGAAACTATAGACCTATCAGAATTTTTCTTATATCGCGAAAATCTTTGAATCGGTAATTTATGATCGAATATATTATCATATACAACCAGACCTATTCGAGTAAAAGCATAGTTTTGTCAAGAGCAAGTCTACAATATGAAATCTGTTGGAATATAAGGCATGTCTTTGTTCAGCCTTCGCCCAGTTGACACATCATATACCAATTTACGTAAGGCATTGGAAAAGGTGAACCACGCATTGCTTTTCAGAAACTCAAGTGTTATGGCAACCATGATGATGACCATATTTAGCTAGATATAGTTTTACCTAAAAAACCGCATTCAATTAGTTACTGCAAAGGGGTTCAAATCGACTGCTGTCACCATTAAATCAGGTGTCCTACAGGGATCCCACCTGGGACGATTTTTTATTGTTTTTATAAACGACCTGATCCGAAAACTAACTTGTCTGTCTATTAGACGCAGATGACCTTAAAGAATTCAAGAAAATTAATGACCTTAATGATTGTATAAATTTGCAAAATGATGCTAACATACTTGCTGACTGGTGCACATAAAGCTGCATGTACTTACACATAAATAAATGCTTAGTTATTTCTTTTACTATTAGATATAATGAAATAAATCACGATTATATATTCGAAGGTCAAATTCTTATGCGCAATTCAGTGGCAAAAGATTTAGGTGTTTATATTATTTTAATGAAAAGCTTATTTTCAGAAATTATTATGATCACACGTCATACAAGCTTATATTATTACCAGAACAACCAATCATTTCAAGAAAACCATATACATATCTCTTCTATGCTTTGATAAGGAGTAGGTACTCTTGAGTATGGTTCTATTATGCAGTATGGTCTCCATTTTACGTAGCGCACTCCAAGCGTTCAGCACAGATCCAAAACAAAGCTCTTAAGATAGTTAGTTATAGGCTTTTTTTTTTTTTTTTTTTTGCGGATGGAAAATCATCTAATGACCCCTTTCGCTCTGGGTGGAGCGTAAGGGAGTGTCAGACTTTTACTGACTAAAAACCATCCGTGTTCCTTCAGTGCCCTTACGTTCCGGAGCCGCGGTATCTCTTTCGAATAGCCCGCAGCCCCGGCAGGCGTCGGCCCTTGCGGGCCCCATCACGCTGCTGACAGCTCTTTGAGGCGCGCGTGGAACAAAACGCGCCGTCGACACGGCCTGTCGTCGTTAGACGGACGGACGACGAGCTACCCATTGCTCGCCGTCCACAGGCCCGCGCCTACGGTGGCCGGGGGCCACGACGTAGCCCCCGACGCCCGGGGCGTCTCCCGCGGCGGCCTGGGAGGAAAGCTGCTGCTCTTTCCTTCTCCCGCTCCGCCACCTCCTTCGCTAGCATCACTGCTTCGCAGAAGGTGGTGACGGCATCCCATTCCGTCTCGCTCCGGACCATGGCTTCGACCAGGGCCGGACGCGAGAGGTCGCCGCCGCCTATCGCCGCTACGAGGACACGGCGGTGCTCCGCCCAAGCAGGGCACACCTCCACGGTGTGTTCCACCGTGTCCTCCGGTCCATCCTCGCAGTGGGAGCACCCGGGCGTTTCCTCCCGCCCGATTCGGTGCAGGAACCTCCCGAACACACCGTGTCCGGTGAGGACCTGAGTCAGGCGGAAGGTGAGGATGCCGTGGCGTCTCTCAAGCCACTCCTCAAAGAGGGGTCTTATCGCCGCTATAGTGGCGTGCCCAGCACGGGGTTGCGACAGTCGCTCTCTCCATGTCGCCATGAGATCGTGCCGGAAGACTGTCCGCTGCGCGACAACTTGCCGTGGCAGCGGGGTTTCCCCCCGGCATAGTGCCTCCGCGCGCCATTCGTGCAGGCGTGCGAGGACTACCGCCTCCAGATCCCATGGCGGCAATCCGGCAAGGAGGCTCGCCGCCTCGCGGGAGATCGTGCGGTAGCCGCGAACCATTTTAACGGCGACCACCCTTTGGGGCGCGTTCAGGTGGTGGACGGCAAGCCGCGCCAAACCACGCGCCCACACCGGGGCCCCGTAAAGGGCCATGGATCGCACGATCCCCGCGTAGAGCCTCCGGCAGTAGTTAGTTATAGGCTGGGATTGCGTCGCAATCTACCATCTCATCAAGGAGGGTGCAATAAAATTATTCTTTGTTTAATTAATTAATACACTGCAATTATATTTCCCCAAATCTTTTATCCCAAATCAATTTTAATATCAAGTCAATCGTACGTACAATCCTTTAACATGAATGTGTCGCTCTTATGATGCTATGGTTTTGACAGAGTCAGGTAAGAACATTGACATCTTTGATAGTAATATAAATAAGCTACGCACTCAACTAACATCCCATTATAATTTTTTATAGTCCTTATATCTAAAAAAAAAAAAACACTTTTACTAAACTGTCATGAAATTGTTAAACTAATTTTCTTATAGATGCGTTTACGTTATAATGCATATTGCAACTTGTTGCAACAAAAATGAACATAAACTGTTATGTACATCTACTAAATATATAAATAAAAAGTAATAACAAATTTGAATGTGTTGTGACTCTGCCACGGTATTGTAATTTATATCCTAGAGTAACTCAAACTTAGAGTAGAGCAAACTTCTCTAAGTATGTGAGTTCACTGAGCCACCTTAAGCTTCCTCATATGACATCATCATTAAGCTTCCTAATACGTCACGATGGGAAGCAGTATTAAAGATGAGAGACTTCCGATACTGCGACCGTCAAACCCGCCTTTCAAGCCTAGCGACTGTGACAAAAAAAGGAGTGAACTGTTACAGGTGTTAAGAAAAATGATGTTTTTAAAGATTATTGTTTAGTTACATATTCTTGTATTCTTCGGAGCTCTTCGCCGTCTGGCAACCAAGGGAACTGCATTTTGGGTATAGTTTCTTCGGCCGTGTAGAAGCCATTTGTCGCATTATCACCGCAATTCAGCACGTTCATCTCAAGACATTCTAACAAACATAATCAGTTCTAATTCAATAAGTATAAAAAAGCGAATTTATAAAACAATTGTATGAGGATATTGATGACGAAGGCCAATGTTCAGCAGTGGATTTTCGATAGGCTGATGAAATGATGACGATAACGATAATGATACCATATAAGAAGTCGAAATGAAAATTTTTCAAATTTGAAAACAGTTTAAAAAACTTAAGCAACACTTATTGGGTGCGTTTGGCAGAAAAAAGCGCTAGCAAGCGCTTGTAAGCAAAATGGCGAAACTAAACAGTTTTCGGCCAGGACACGTTTGCTAACTTCAGTAACCCTGACAAAATCCGCCATTTTGCTTATTTAATTTGTTTGTTTTGAAGTAGAGTTTATAAGTTGTTTTGAGCAATATTAGTTTTAAGTAATATAATGACATGAATAAACATATTATACATAATGATTTCTTATATTTACGCGAATACTATACATGATTAAAACTACTTTTACGGATTTTATCGCGTTTATTTTTACTTTTTATTTACTTTTATTTTTAATTCCCGACGTTTCGGGCGCTTTCCAGCACCCATGGTCACGGTTCTACAGTTTGTGATCATATCCTAGACGGACCCAACCATTACATCAGATTTGATAGACCACAAATCCTCGCGAAAGAACACCGATTCCTACCAAGGATGATACGTGAGGCTATTGAAATTAAAAAACATCCTAATTTCAATAGAGAAAGAGGCTGGGTACTACCACCTGCTTGGGATCCTATAATCAATAAAATTAAAACTAAAGCCAAGCATACCACTGCAAGACCTCAGGACATAGTCAGTTCATTTTGCACAGATAATTATAAAAAATATAAACAATAATTAAAAAAGCTGAAGGTACTCCGGGTTTAACAATGACATCGGGACGTCAGTCATCTCAGTCCCCTGTGACCATGGGTGCTGGAAAGCGCCCGAAACGTCGGGAATTAAAAATAAAAGTAAATAAAAAGTAAAAATAAACGCGATAAAATCCGTAAAAGTAGTTTTAATCACATATTATACATGTTATTAAAAATTCATGATAGGTAAGCTTTTAATATGAATACTTTACAAACATATATTTAAATTAGGTTAGGTTCCCCGGTTAAAACTAACTTCATGTCCTAGAGGAAAATAGCTACTTACGATTTGACAGCGCTTACCGCTTACGATCGCCATTTTGCTTACAAGCGCTTGCTAGCGCTTTTTTCTGCCAAACGCACCCATTGATCATGTGCTGTAATAACCCTACTAAGAATACTAGTAATTAGTAGTTAGAATCGGCCGGAACATCGCCAAACAATAAATCAACACACAATGGGTGCGTTTGGCAGAAAAAAGCGCTAGCAAGCGCTTGTAAGCAAAATGGCGATCGTAAGCGGTAAGCGCTGTCAAATCGTAAGTAGCTATTTTCCTCCAGGACACGATGTTAGTTTTAACTATATGTTTGTAAAGTATTCATATTAAAAACTTAACAATCATGAATTTTTAATAGCATGTTTATGTTTATTCATGTCATTATATTACTTAAAACTAATATTGCACAAAACAACTTATAAACTCTACTTCAAAACAAACAAATTAAATAAGCAAAATGGCGGATTGTGTCAGCGCTACTGAAGTAGCAATCGTGTCCTGGCCGAAAACTATTTTAGCGCTTATAAGCGCTTGCTAGCGCTTTTTTCTGCCAAACGCACCCAATAAGTCAAGTTTAAAAAAAATAAAAAAATCAACAATGGCTCTGTGTGATTTTACATGCCTTTCTAAAATAATACCGTGCAGTTGCGGAGGAAGAGAATCCTTCCGCCGCGCAAATGTTGTAAATGTCGACAAGGGAAACGCCTAAGATGTGCAACCCAGAAGCCCAGTACCTAGACCAGCGATAAGCCAGCGACCAGCATAAAAACATAAATCGCTGATCAGTCTGTTAAATGTGATGTTATCAAAACCTAACTTTAAAAGTCCACCTAATTTTAAGGGACTACTGCAGCACATGGTTATCGGCTTAAAGGTGGCTACAGATGTGAAGTCACTTCTGAAGACTAAGATGGAATGCCTCACACAGCCCATAATTATACTAGTTCTTTATACCGTCAGACCGGAAGCTGCAGCTGTGCACACACTACTATTTGTCAGCAGATTTAGGTAAGAAGGTAGTGTACCTGCTCGGCCAGGACTCCCAGGCAGTAATGAAGTATTATTACATAGAAAAAATAACAAGAGAATGTAGCGTGGGCGACATCATCACGATGTTTTCCTCAACAGTTCACAGGTCTGGAGGTTTGAACTTGAGTTACATGCGTACAGCAAGTCGCTCTTAGCCCTTATACCCAGCCCAATAACTATTAATATCTTAAATGATCAATTACCTTTGGTCCAAAGCTGGTTAGTTTCTGGTAAATTGCTCCAATTTTTATTTCTGTCAAACCAACTTTGAAGTTTACCTTTTTCAGAACAGCCATTAAAATCAGGACAAGCTTGTACAATACCATAGCAATGTAAATTGTCACCAGTCCAGACACACTCGGATTCAGTTTGCGGTGAATTTAGTTTAGTGTGGATATAATTTTGTGGATGATGGTCCGAAGTTTGTTCATTTTGCCAGTCGTATAATTCATTCTGGTAGTTGTATGTTGGATGTTTGGGACTGGTTGATGTTGCAGAGTTAGACAGTTGGTGATTGGAAGAAGTTATGTTTTCTTTGAAAAAAAAAAAAGCTTTTGTTAAAAACAAATTAAGATATAAGTGGTGATGTTTAAAATAAGTGTATAACATGTTGCAAATAAAATTGTAGGCGATATAAGTCTACTAAGGGTACCATTAAAATCAAATCAACAAAGATACAACACAAGGTACACCAGTTAATGAATAACCTACCCACAGAATCTGAGATAATTATTGCTATATGATATATATATATATATATATATATATATATATATATACACTACACTCTATTATGAAGAACCAGAATTTGTCAAAACAGGCACGTATGGTAATTCATAATGCTGTGTTAGTCCCTACTTTAATGTATGGTAGTGAAAACAGGGTGTGGCAGAAGAAGCACGAAAGTAAAATAAATGCTGTAGAAATGCGGTCTTTAAGGAATATGCTAGGGTGTAATCTGAATGACAGGGTGAGAAATTGCGTGATAAGAGATAAATGTGGTATGCAAGATGATGTTGTGACCAGGATTAAGAAAGGAATGCTTCGGTGGTTTGGTCACATAGAAAGAATGAATGAGGAAAGAGTGACAAAGCAAATTTATATGGCAGATGTGAATGGCCGAGTCGGGAAGGGACGCCCTAGGAAAAAGTTTATCGACCAAATTGGCGATATTTTGAAAATGGGCCACGTTAGAAGTACCCTTAACCGACGAGCATGTATGCGTAGATATATGGATGTAAAGGAGGCGAAAGAGGTATGTCAGGATCGTGCCAAATGGAAGTCCGTAGTCTCTGCCTACCCCTCTGGGTGACAGGCGTGAGTGTTTATGTTTTATATATATATATATATATATATATATATATATATATATATATATATATATTATAAAAGTCCACGGTTTAACATAGCCATGCCACTCTTGGCTGGTGGGTTGGCTTAAATAATTTTTAGCTCTTATCAAGAAGATTGCCCATTTCCTATCAGTTTCCCTCTATCGCAACTTACGACACCCACGGGATGTTATGGGGTAGTGGATACTCTTACGGCACCAGTACACACCCATGTGTTATATGTGATAGAGCCACGCTGCTGCTATATTATAATTGTAGCATGAATGGGTTGGCTGAACCAGGGAAGAAACACACTCTCACATAATATCAGTGTAAAATTGCCGCCTAATACTGCTGAGTTTCGTATGGTAAGTGTAAAGAACCAAAGACCTTTTTTAATGGAAAAAAAGGGCATAAGCATCCACTTCAAGATCAGGTGGACTGTGAGCTTGTTTGTCATCCTTGTTCTATTTAAAAAAATCTGCAAATTCAATTTAGTATGATAATGACTGAATAATACACTACTAACCAGAACATGTATCAATAAAAGCTTCATTGAGTTCACACACATTTGTTTCGGGTTGCAACACATCATAGGTTTTATTTAAAGGATTTCTGAAGAGAAAAAAGCACTATTATCATAAAATATTTACAGTTGACCTAAAATGATCATTCCAACTGTGAATTTATATAATTGAGAAATGGGAATAAAAAGCAACATGCAGTTCTTTGCATAAAGTTCAAACACATTGTTAAAGTTTTGTTTTATATCAAGACTTCTGACAAATCTCTCTTTTATGTCTTTGGTTTTTATTTTTGTCTTAGAAAGTAAGGTAAGGTTGTCTTTAAGGTAAGGCATTGACAAAATTGGCCCATGGTCATTCTCCTAGGACAGGGAAGGCGCACCAGTGTATGAAGTAACAATGAACAAATGAAGTATTATATTACAAACCAATGTCAGTGATTCTTGTTACATTGTGGACTACTATTATTAATGACGCATAGTTCATTACAGCATCATCATCATTACAGCCCTTCACAAGTCCACTCCTACCCCGAGAAATGTACTGTTCGTTTATGCATAGCATATCAGTCAATTTCGTTAACAGAACTGTATTTAAAAGTTCATTTGTGTTATATTTAGAATTTTACAACCCCAATATAAATTATTTGTCATTTAATCTACAACAACAGAAGTCACACTAATTTTACTATAATTTGAATTGTGCATATAACTGAAACATTTATTACTATACATTGCAAAATGTATTTTGCAATTTATAATAAATTAATAATAAATGTCTCAACTCAAAACTCTATTTATTGTAGTAAATAAAGAGTTTTGAGTCAATTTAGTACTATTATTTTCCCAATATTCACGATTCCAAAATTTTTTTACGGCACATCTATTACCTAATTAAACATTTCTTTAGAAAAATGGCACATTGATACATAAAGGTTCGCCACCCCTGTCTTAGTTAGCATAGTGTGTGAAATGGTGAATATGGACCAAATCTGCCACATAAGCAACCAGTTTACTTAAGATTATTAATGCAGGTAGATTTAAATTCCTACTTATTACACATTTAATTATTAATATGTACATGGTAGTCACTCTTCAGCTATAATATGGTTGTAGCTTGAATAAGTTGGCTCGACTGAGAAGAACCACACTGACAAAATACCAGCATAAAACAGCAGGTTAATTCTGCAATTTCAGAGAGTATGGAGAACTGATACACTTTTACTGAAAACAATGTATTCTACTTAATCCAGTCTCAATGTAGACTTGTCATAATGCTCATGTCCAATGAGATGGCAATCCAGTTGACTTCACCTTCTATACTAGATTAATACAATATAGAAAGTTATGTCAATATTTTGGATTTGGGCTTTTACTTTAAAAAAATATGAATATATAAAGAAATCTAAATATAATTCTTTTGAAATCAATAAAATTATAATATCTTACTTCTCAGTAATCTCTTTTTTAGTAACTCAATGCTTTTAAAATATTTTTATCTCTTTCAAAATGGTAATTAACTCTAAGGATTTCTTTTTTTTTAAATTAATAAATCACATGAAAGTATTTACATTACACATGCATTGTCAATGTTTTTTATGGCATTGATAGACAGTTGCTGATGACACCCCATTTAAAAGTTTCATCATAACAGCTTTTAAGTCAAATCAGTATTTTAGTGATTTGTTTTGGATATAGGCAGAGTTCTTTTCAACATCTATTTTCTGTGATGTTGGTGCTGTTAGCCTATACCTCGAATCTTTTTTGGTATTGGACTCTGTTGAAAATATATTTCTACACTTTTTTGGGGTTTACTTTGATTTTCCATAGGCAGAACCATTCGCTTAAGTGATTGGTGGCTTTTTGGAGTTTTAAAGTGAGACTATCCCTATTATAATCAGATACAAAGAGTGCCGCATCATCAGCGAAGAGAGCAGTTTTTACCATAGGATCCTTACGGATATCACTCATAAAGAGAAGTAGAGACAGGACGGAGCCTTGTGTGACTCCGGTCTTAAGGAAATGTTTCATAGAACGGGTTAATCTTCACTAGATAGCGAAAAGCTTCTACATCTTATGTTATTTTAAGTATTCTACTAACTCCATTTCTGACAAGGAGTCCGCCTGGGTGAATCCCACCCACCCTCTTAACTATTTCCACTACCAAGCAGCATTGCAGGCACTGCTGTGCTCCAGTCGGAAGATATACAGGATCAGTATAATTACAGGCTGTAAAACATTTCATATAGGTCCTCAGAGGCATTAATGCATCTGTAGGCTTCTTCGTTTGAAGTTAGCTGCAGGTAGGTGGGCTGCAGCAGCTACTTACCATCAGGTGCACAAGTTCTTTTCAGAACATTTTTTAACGTCAGTGACTTTTCAGAAAAGTCACTGACGTTAAAAAATGCTGCTATAAGCTATAAAGCTAAAGCCCAACCTAAATCACTTACTTATGACGAGAAGCAATGACATTGAGAGAATGTTGACTTTGTGGTCATGAAACTGTCTTTCAAGATTTGTTAGTATGGGCAATCAAGATGTGCATGGTGCATGCCAGTTTGCGCCCATATGAAAAGACCTCTACAAAGAATTGCATTAAAGAAATTATTGATTCCAATTTCAATTGCTATTTCGGCGATGAAGAAAAACATCATGATGTATATCAGAAGAATAAAATATTTTTGAGGACATGTGAAGTTCGCCAACATGCATTGTTCACTTTTGAAGTCTAAAACCGGCTCAGCTTTCCATTGACGTCCGTCAAGTTGGGAGTTAATAGTTTTTTAACAGAAAGGTTACATTATTATAAGCACACACGCAAAGTTTCAACATGCAGAGACGTGTACTTTTTGAGTAAAAAAATAATATTGAAAATCAATAATTTTTGCAATATTTATGTCAATCCCCACCACAGATTATGAATTCTCGCCATTGAATGTTTACTTTTACATACGGTTAAGTTGTCAATTGTCATACGTTCTGTAACATTTTATTTTATAAAAATTTACATAACAATAATTATATTTTGTACTCATTTCCATAGTTTTCATTCATACACATATATTTAACAGTTTATATCTAAATTACAGAAATATTTTCATTACAAGCTAATAAAATTAAAATATGTAGTGTTTATTGTGTTTTGCCGGCATGTGGAACGAAACATAAAACTGATCTTTTCCAAGAATTAATAAAGCAATACAATATGTGTATAAAATTGATTAATAAATTATTAATTATATTTGATTTGTTTTATTTTAACAGTATCTTCCTATTAGGGCAGATAACAAATAAAATAGGTTAGGTTCAACTTATGTCAAAGAACCAAATTGATTGACCCAGACTCCATGTGGTACAAGTCTGTCCTACCCCTAGAGTGTTTTTATAGAGCCGTAGGCGCATAGGGAGAGAGAAACTGCAGAGGCAAGGATGGATGCTTGCGATTCGTAACACAAAGGTGTAGAGGCTGCTCTTCCCACAGAGCCGGAGACCTTGCAGTTTCAAAATAGATACAGAAATCCCTCTGAATCAGTCCCCCTATTTTTTTCTGATGAAGGGGTTCCCTCCTTTCCTTAGGGGTACACCCTTACCCCAAGGGGACCCCTGGTTTTTTACACTTAATATTAATCCATAAAATGAGGAAAATTTCCTCAGAATTAAAAATGAAAAAACTCGAAAGGGAGGGGGCTCCGCAACTTTTCCTTTCAAGGGGGGGGGGGTAGTACACCTCCCCTTGCCCTCCCTCAATTCGACGGACGTCAATGGAAATTCGTACCCTAGAAACCTAGAATCCACTAAGAAATAACCTCCAGTCTGTGTCCACTGCCCAGTAGAGGGGCATAATGCTGAAACTTTATTTATATTCAATTTAACACTATTATTATTTTGTATTAATTAAGTACTATTACCACGTCACGTAATTTACAGTGAAATATAATCAATTTCTTACTTGATTTTTCCGCTCACATCACGTTTTTTATTTTTTTCGTTTGTACAAACTTTCCAACTTTTCTGTTTCTTATAAAATTCCAAGCGATAAATTGCTAGTAAGTTTGCTTTTGGATTTTTAAAATTTTCCATGTTTTATAGTGAAGAATAATTTTACAACAAGTTTATCATAATATTATGGAAATAACGAATAATTTTAAGTTTCTCTTTGCCTTATTTTGTTTTTTCTGGTTAGATTTGAAGGTATTTTTTTTCATTTCAGTTGTCAATTTTTTTATTTAACTGGCTTTATGGCTCAGGGTTCTAGCCTTTCTGAGCCTCTCATTTCTTTCGGGATCTTCATCTTTATAGATTTTTTTAGGAGATTTTGACAACAGCTCAACCCAGCGGATAGTTGATGACGCTTTATGAACTTGAGTGACAAGTTCATAAAGCGCCTAAGCGATCAAAATAACTTGAGGTTTATATCAACATCGAAGCACTTGTTTTGTCGTTTTCTCTAATAGCTTACATGTGCAAACACTTAATTTACAAAATCGCATCACTTTTACGAATCAAAATCCGCTTCAACTATTATTTAAGCGATAAAACAAGAGCAACAATTCGTTTACGGCCAAGTTCCTGCCAAAACTCTCTTTCAGTTGTCAGTTGCTACCAAACCAAAGAATAAAAATATAATTATAGTACTATTACCGTAGTACTATTATTTATTATGTGCTAGTACTAGTATGCAATCCATCAAGACGATGGCTACTAATTAGTTTATTTACCTATTACCTATGACGAAATTATAATTTTTGGCACAGTGATTTCACTTGTCAAATATCGCAGGCAATGATTTTTCAATGACAATAATCTTCGGTCATTGCACTACGTACATGATTTGTTGTTTGGTTTAAAAAGATTGGTAAGCATTTAAATTACTGAAAAAATTTTAAAGAATTATTTTTTTTACTTACTAAATAATTAGCTATAGTGCTTTCTGGGACTTTTCGACGGATTCCAATTCATATTCATCATTCATCGGAAATCATCATCAAAAATTTCAAACAATTCATCATTGTTCGTTTTTTACACACATTGTACACATGCACATGCATGACATTAAAATTTAAAAAACTGTGTAAGCACTAAAGACTTATTTTCTTACACTAAATCTTAACGATCTATAAGTTCGCATAAAAAGCAAATGATAATTTTTACAGACACCAAGCCATCAGAAGATGCATGCGAGTGAAATTTAATGTAATCAAACCAGATCTTATTTTGCGCCGCGTTATAAATATTTTTTTTAAAATTACAATGAAATCAAATCTAATTATATTTAACTTTAGGTCTATATTATAAAGCTCATCTTGCTCAATGCTTGTTAAAATCATAGCAGAAACTTGACGCGTGCCGCCGCGAATACTCTTATTATTCTTTGCAAATACTTGTTACTTCCTCTAGCGTTATATTCGATCTTTTCATTTTTTTTGCGCCCAGAAGCAAATGTAAAGGGCTACCCTCCGGAAAGCGGGGTAGGGAGGTGGTGAATGCTCTAAGCATACCACGCAGCCAGCTGCGTAGTTATGTGGGACTCACTGAGAAACCTGAGTGCCTACCCACTAAATACCACCCGAGACTGGCTTCGACCTGGTAAGGCCTTTTTGCCGTATCGGAAGCGACCCCCCTAGGGAAAAGGATTGCAGACGGCGAGTAGCCGCTGAGAGCGCGCCTTAAGTAAGGCAGCTTATTAATTGGAAGACGAGTCGGCCTGAGCCGCCAGGAGGCAGTCCATGTCGGCTGTAAGGTTGTTGCGGGAGCCGAGAGAGAGTTTCTCGGCCTGAGGAAGCTGCCTTACGAATGAGATGGTTTGAGTGAGACTTTGAAGAAGTTCTCAGAGAGTGTATTTAGAAATTTTTGGATTGTGGGGAGGTCTAAGTCTCGGCGTTACGGACGAACCAGGTTGCGTTCGTAGCCCGACGACAGAAAAGGTTTAGAACTATTTGAAGTTCGTTTAGAATGCTTAGTTTAGCATGAGCAAAAATGGGGGCCGCGTAAGTCGTAACTGGTCGTAAACACACCTTATATAGGGTTTGCTTGTTTTGGAGAGACATTTTACTGTGTCAGCCCAGCATGCTGTTGAGCCTAACAAGGTAAAATCGCGCGGTGCGAGTTACTTTCTTGCCTAAGTATTTGGCGGTCTTTTGCCAGGGGATAGGAGTTCCTAACATCCACATTGGCGGAATGGTAGTGGGGCGGCGTCGTTTATGTTCGAAGCAAACGGCGGAGCTCTTCTCCGGGTTTACGTCGATACACCATTTTTGGAACCAAGCTCCTAAGTCACTAACTGACTTTTGGATCTTGTTCCGGATCTGTAGTAGTGAATTACCTTTAGAGTATAGGGATGTGTCATCAGTAAAGAGGGAGAGCTGAATACCATTCAACGGGATGGGAATATCGTTGGTGTACAGTATATATGAGGCGGGCAGGCACGGAGCCTTGAGGGACACCGGCTTGGAGGCGATCTCTTCACTACCCTATATAATATTATAGTCTGCTTGTTCGTTCACTCTCTCCTACAAGTTCGTTCAATTGCCGGCTTGCCAGCTCACCGCGTCAGCCGCCGATGTTACACAATCAAACCCGAGCGATGCGATTTCAAAGACATGAACAAATGAAGTATGACTGTTACGCGGTACGGCCGATGAGTCCTGGCTGGTCAGAACTACGTACGAATAGCTGCTTAATACTTTAGGTGTGTTTCTATATACACTATGACCACTGTAAGGGGGGACGTCTTGGCGGCTTATGACGTGACGGCTTAAATGGCGACGATTTATGACGACTGACAACTGTTAACGAAGGATTTTAAAGTCTTTGTGAGAAGTGCAGTCATAGATTATAATATAATAAGACGCTCGCTGCTTTAGATACTTTGATCTCAGGGTTGGCAGTAAAATGTTATTTCATTTTTGATTCATCGATCGATCGAGAAAATAAAGTGACAGTGTAATAACTGGTTCAGATGACAATTCGCTTATTTTTAATGACAGTTTCCACATAAATAATCTTTTAAGACTACCTACGACATACATATAGGCGTCTACGAGTCATAGCATCCAGTAGCATTGAACCTAGACTTAATTCAATACAAAACCCGGCACGACCGGTATTGTAGGATTCATAGAAATTATACTGTTTTCAGTAGTATATTATCTATGGGTGACTGTCTCGTTGGTCTAGTGGTTGTATTAGTGCGACTGCTGATCATGAGATCCCGGGTTCGAATCCCAAACCTGGTCAAAGATCAATTATTGAGTTTTTTCGTCAAGAAATTCTCTGTAGCTGCCCGGAGTCAGGAAGTTGGCGGTGTCTTCCCCCGTGCCTCGGAAAGCACGTAGATCTCTCTCGGGTCGTGTCGGTTTACCGTCCCATCGGATTATGAGAATGAGGGAATAGAGAGTGCACCTGTGCTTGCGCATACACTTGGGCACTATAATCCTGTCCTGCGCCGATGGCTAGTCTCCGTTGAGTAGGATTCTTGGTCCTGAGTCCTGGCTGACACCGGTACATTTTGAGCGATGACGCAAATAAGGATTAATGTTGATTGCTCACGAGCCAACAAGCAGACAAATTTAATTCTAAATTCTATTTAAAAGTACTTTTTTGGTGTATACTGAGGAACTTAGCACGGGTCGACGTTGTATTATAACGTACTATGTAAGTTCGAATACCGCACGGAACAAGTGTTTGTGTTTGTATGGCTTACAAATAATTGTTTCGGGATTTGATTTTTTTATCTCTGTGTAATTTATATATTAAGTGAAACTCCACGATACGAGAATTTACTCGTTGTAATATTTATTTTAAGAGAATGCGTATGGTTTCCTTATTTTGGCCACTAAAAAACCCAACAGGTTATCTAAACATTTTACAAAATTTATTAAAACTTTTAAAAAAACGTTTATTGAAAATTGACGGCTTTTCGTCACAAAAACAACATAGAAACTCACCTCATATGCATAAACGCGCCATCATTACTTCCCTCGCTCGCATAATATGCACAAAACATTTACTGCCTTATTTATGAAAATCGAGAATTCAAACAAGCCCCCCACAAACTTTTTTACAATATTCCCAACTACAAAAAAATTATTGTATTTCTTAGACGATATTTCTTTTGTATACATATTTCAAAATCAAAATATATACTTAATTTATTTCATACACATCCACATAAAACTTCTCACACTAACATAAATACTTTTTGCGTAAAAATGTTTCTTCACACAAACACAACACAAAAATACCTACCAATATTTACTCTTATTAAATATACTACTGCTAACTCTGAACTTCATCGATTAATTCGTCATAATTACCTTGTTATATTATTCCTCCCCGTTTTGTTATATAGGCTTAAACTTCATATTTTACATAGCAACCTTTTTTTTTTAACATGGGAAAATGCCTACGCATACCCGCCTCGCGGGGGCAAGGACGGGTTATGTCGGACTCGCACCGACTAAAACCCCATGGTGTTCCACCTTCGTCGCATATTGGCAGGGCTACAGGAACGCTTTCGCACACTTCCGCGGCCCTACCAGCGACTGCCGCCCCATGGCAGCACCTCCTCGGGAGAGGAATATTCCTCCCCGTTCTCCTTCCCAAGTAAGGCGCACCAGAACACATGGCACGCCTTCCTCCACGGCCTCCAATTGCATCTGCGCAACAGACGCCCCCGCGTCCGTTGCGCAAGTCCGTCCAACCAAGATTCGGCTGCGGAGGATAGGGAGAGCGGCGCCTCGCAATACCGACAATCCTCTCCCCCCGCAGCCCCATCACCACCGCATCAACGGTGCGGCCCCGTTTGAGTCGCGGAGGATAGGGCGAGTGGCGCATCGCCATACCAACACTCCTCTTCCTCCGCGACTCCACCTCGGCTGCAGCGATAGAGGGTGCGGAGTCCCCACTCGCTGCAGTCCACCAGCACACATCCCAAGTGGGCTCCCCAAGCCCACTCGGAGTGGCCACCTCAGGTCGGCCCTTCACCTCGGGCCTGCCACGTGGGTTCCTCTTTGTTCACCGTGGGAGACCAAGCCACGGCTACTAAGCCTCCCCGCCACAACAAGGCGGGAACCCGTTCG